GTGGACAGCGCCAAGGTAGATGCGATTCTGATCGTTAAGCAGGTGAAGACGAGTGGCAAAAATAGATCACTGTTTCTCACTTTTCAGTCTGCAGTTTGATTGTTTGTGGATGTTGGCGTAAATATTTATTTGACATTAGATTCCCTTTGTCTTGTGGGCTGAAAAGCAGGAGAGCATTCAAATGTCGTTTCCCCTCTAAAATAATTATATTGTGATTCAATTTTAATTTTGACCCTTTATTGGAATGATGGTGGTGACAATCAGAGTGAGCCTTGTTTCTATTATCGTTTTTTGATAGATTTGTTGTCGATTCCAAATGATTGATGCAGGGTTTAACTATTGGTTAAGGTCAACTCGATTGTTCGCTGAGATACGAGCAAATTATGGAGACTGACTCCATGCATGATGTGCATGTCTTCCAGGATGGTGACACCTCTGCACCAGCCGCCTTTGTTCCGTCTGTGACTGTAATCTCAACGTCGCCAGAACTGAAGTGGATGGTGCAGCCGACTGCCATCACATCTGGGTTTGCAAAAACCAAGACCGATGGCGCAAACCAGTCGTCCCCAACAGGTGCAAAGAGGGCAAAGACGTGCAACAAGAAGGCGCAAAAGGAGCAGGTAGGCAGGGTGGAGGGTGGTTACTTTACTTTTACTGACAGTAAACTCCAGTGACCTATTACTTAATTCTTTAGTTTATTTTTTATGTATTCCTTTAATCCATGTTTAATACCAAGTTCCACCTGCGCCTCTGTTAATGTTTTTGGAGTTATCGCGATATTATGAATGGGGCATTAGATATTGTTGCAATTGGGCTATACGCACAAATCAGTCGCACCGGGCGTTAATTATAATTAATGTCTTATTAAAGGAGCACCGCTCTAATAACTGTGAAGGAAAAGTGCACGCTCTCGCGTGCGTCGTGCGCGTTCCAGTTGGTGCAGCATTTCGAGAAGATCTGTATTCCCAGCACTCACAACAAAGAGGATTTTCTCCCTTGCACGGCAAAGGACATTGTGCTGTGGAGTTAGCTGTGAATGAAAAATAAAGCCTAGACGTTTTTTTTTTCTTAAAATATTATTTCTATTTTCGTCTTACTGGTTTTAGCCCTCTAAAGAAGACGAGGAGAGGAGGAGGATTAGGAGGGAGAGGAACAAGATTGCTGCAGCAAAGTGTCGCAACAGACGGAGGGAGCTGATAGACACCCTTCAAGCTGTAAGTGTGCTGTTTTCCTTTAGTTTTTTTTTTTTTTTTGACATTATGCAGAAGACATTCCCACAGCGGAAGCAAGCCGTCACGAAGAAAGACAGACATTAATATGACATGGCATTAAAGGCTGCAAGAGCAACGCATGCTGTGGCTGCTCAGCACCACGAGAGACCAGTCAATCTGAGCTGTTTGTTGAGCAGAATACACACACATGGAGGGCAAGACGAAATCCTTTTTTATGACGGCAAATTTAAAATGCTCATTTTGTCGAAAATGAATGTAGGTGAGTCAAGATGCGATGGGTTGTAATGTCCACCTTGCTGCCACCTTTCCAGCCCTCACTTCCCAATAAACAGCAGTTAAAATACACGGACAACCTTTACAAAACATTTGTGCTTTCAGTGTGACACATAGTCTAATTTCATCTTCCCAACAGAAGTTCTGTAATACAGTTTGAAAATGATAGAAACTTCATTTGGTTTCTATACTTAAAAAACTTTTAAAAAAATGAAAATGTATATCAAATAATATTATTGGTGGCCCCCATTAGATCAGCCCTTAAATCTCTTTTTATGATCACATGTGAAAAAATTTAAATAAAAACAGCAAACAGTCACAAATAAATAACACCACAAAGTAAGTAAAGACACAGGAAGGTGGCATTGGAGGCTGATAAAATGAAATAGTATTGAGAAAGAAAAAGTTTTGAGTTAAGTGGCTGATGTAATTGGTAAATTTCTTGAAAAATAGCTGTTTATTAATTCCACATTTCATGAGAAGAACTGAGCTTATCTTCTACATTAGACATAAACTCCAACTAAAGGGTGTGATAAACTTAAAGACACAATTAACTTAAGATAAACTTAAGATAAAGTTTAAATGGGAATAACTAATCTTCAGCATGCAAAAGCAAGACCAAATGACGCATTGGAAGGTTGTTCCATATAGCACAGTGGGAATAAAAATAAAATGTTGCCTCACTGTGGGTTTTTATAGATTTACTGCGATCAAAAGACCTGACGGATCTGAGTGGTTTGCATAATAAAAGGGAATCAAACTAATATGTAGGACTGAGACAATTGATGAGTAAAAAAATATCTTAAAAATGAATACTGAGACTTTTAGAATTGGAATAATGTGGCCAGCAGAATTTTTGGAGTTAATGTGTTATGTTCTCATTGAATAGAATAGAATAGAATAGAATAGAATAGAACAGAATTGCTCTTTATTAATCACACAGTGCTGAAAGTCATTTGTTACTGCAGCAAAGTAACAATATCTACAACAATATCTATGACAATATTTAAATATTTAATGTAAAATATCTAAAAAACAACAAACAAAACAATATAAATAATTGTTCATTAATAAAGTGCCTAAAGATAAAGTAAAATTAAAACCCCAAAAATTCAGAATAAAAAATACATTATTTAAAAATAATTATTGTGGTCTGTTTGTTAACCTCTTCTCTTTTTGTTCCGTCTCTCCTCAGGAGACTGATTCGCTGGAAGAGGAGAAGTCAACTCTCCAAACTGAGATAGCTGATCTGCTGAAGGAGAAAGAGAGGCTGGAGCACATCTTAGCTTCCCACCGGTCCTCCTGCAAACTGCCAGCACAAGATGACAGCAACAGGGAGGAGGAGGAGGAGACGGTGGAGGATGTTGACTCAGTGCTACAGGATCCCCCGGCCTCCCCGCAGCTGCTCTCCATCCTGGAGAATGTAAAGACCCCTGAGAGCAACGTGGCTGCTGGAGAAGTCCCCGCGAGTCAAGATGCAGACCTTTCTTGTGTCCCAGCTTCTGCGGCCATCTTGGGGAACTCCAACATCCTCCTGTGCTCCAGTGCAGAAGAGGAGGCCTTGCAGGACCTTAATGGAGATGACCTTGATGATTTGGTGCCCAGTCTGGAGATGGCTGCATCTGTCCCTGACATAGACCTCAACGGGCCCTTCTGCCTCCCAGACTGGGAAACTCTCTACAAGTCTGTGGCAAGCGACCTTGAGTCTTTGACCACGCCGGTCATGTCTTCCAGTCCCACCTGTAGCAGCTATCGCACCGTCTTTTCCTTCAGCTGTTCTGAGATTGAGTCCATGGCTGAAGACTGCGAGAACGTCAAAAGCAGTCACGCAGGGTCAGAGTTGATGAAAGATAGTCTTAACTCCCCAACACTCTTAGCCTTGTGAATGCAAATAATTTATGCAACAATATACAGTATTTGTATTCTAACCAGCTAGCAAGCTATCTCTCTCAAATAACCTTTTGTAGTGTGAGCTATGATGTATAAACCTGATAATTAAAGGTTGTGCATATTGACAATGTGTTTTCTGTAACTGTAACAGGGTTGAATTCTTCCATTTTGTTTCAACTGTCTGAGTTTACATTTGTGCCGGAATCCAAATGCATGCAAAAACAAAAGAGTCATATGTATTCCAACAAAAAGGTGGTGAATTGTATTTCTAAAAAAAAACAACTCTAAATGTGATATGAAGTTAACACACATTTGATATAGCTTAATATATGTGAAACAGTGCTATTGTGACAAGTGAAAATAGAGAGATGCTAAAATGTAGCAGTGTTGGTGTAACATCTTGCTGTGAGGTGTCCCCTAATCTGACTTGACATTTATCACCTGAAGCTTTTCCATAACCAAAAATCAAAATGAAAGCATAATCATATCATGTATTTTCTCAAGATGTATTGTATTTTATGGCATAGTTTATTTTTTTACTCATCAAATATGATGCTGATGCAAAAAATGGAATATTGATGAAAATAAAACACAACATTCACAAATCATTTATTTGTCTTGTTGTGAGATTTATATGTATGAGTCGTTTTTATTCAGTATTCTTTCCATATCAGAAAAAAAGGATACAACGCTGTTTAAAGGTATTTTGTTCCATATATATTTCCTCTGTTTTTGCTTTTTATATATGTTTCAGCTTATAACATTGGCATGGGCTCCAATCAAAACCCACATTTATATATGACCTTTATATATAAAACATTACATTTAGTGAAAACATACAAAAATAAAAACCATTAAAACACACAATGTCTTTAATCACTGCAATCTATTCATTTAAATTTGAATGTTTACAAATAAGTCAGCCTGGGATGTATGCATGTTTTTATTTTTTTATTAATATCTTTACATATATAAATATATTTTACACCACTGCAAAATTTTCTATGAATAGGCATTTTGTTTCCATTATTGCTGTGTTATGCTGCTTAATACTTTTGAAGATTTTACAGCAAAAAAAATAATAAAATCTGTTTTAAACAAAAACTATTCAATTAATGTATTCTTTTTAAAAAATAATAGGTCAATAATCGCTTTTAATAACTCATGATGAAACGTATTTACATCTAACTCAACAACAGGTTTTAAATGTGAATAAATCTAACATTTGTGTTGAAAAAGCAAAAAAAATAAAATAAAAAATCATATTGATCATGAAAATAAATTCTTACACGTCAAGAATATTATTTTCGGCACGTCGCTTCAGAAATGCGTCACCGTGCTATTTTTATTCTCAGAGTTACATAAATCGGGCAGAATTGCGCTTAAACCGCGCGCGAGCCGTCGAAACTGCACGTTAATTATTTATTCATACCTCAGTGTTTGCTGTCACGGCCGTTAACTACGATTCCCTTCGGTTAACGCACGTCTGTGCGTGCCGTGCCGACCGAGCGTGACGTCAACACGCGTTTTGCCGTATCCGGTCGCTTCCTTTGACCATATTTGGATGACTGCAGTTGTTTTGTTTCCATGGCGACGGGTGTCGTGTTTCAGTGCTGGCTCTATTGAAAAGATCCAAACAAGAGCCGTACTTTTCTCATCAATTACACAGATCTGCCTCAACGTGAATTACGGTAAATTGACAGTTTCTCGAAACAGCAAACTGGAAGCATTACTGGCAATAGTTAATCCTGCTTAACTCCCTTTTTTCTGCACAAACAGCTATTTGAACGGCATTTGCAGATGGTTGTACTTCAACGAGCTACTGAAATTGAACTACTACATTAGCCTAATATCACAGTGAATCTGGTACATTTTAATGTAATGTACATAAACTGCAGATCGTTAAAAATTTGGGACACCGACTGAAGCGCAGTTTTATCATCCGTCAGCAGGGGTCACTAAAAGCAAACTGCCACAGATACTCTCTATTCCTTATTCCTTTATGGCCAGACCTTCGGGTTATAATAATCTTTATTATATAAAACTAAAATTCACTGATATTTGAACATTACATTCAAAAAACGAATCTGGAGAGGGTTTGTTAGTTTGAGCATGGGTTCGGCAGTGTGTTGAAATTCATAGATTGCAGTTCTTTTCTTTTTTTTTCTCAGTCAATCCACACTGGTGTCTCTCCTGCACGCATTGGGCAAGAGGCAAGGTACAACCTGGACAAGTTGCAACATAGACAAATAACTATACACACACACACACACACACACACACACACACACACACACACCACACACACACACACCACACACACACACACACACACACACACACACACACACACACACACAAATCCCCCCCCCACACACACACACACACATCTATAGACAATAAACCTTACATGGATTTACTCTGTCTTTCACAGAGAGAACTTTCTTCAGGACATGTCAAGTAACATTTATGTTTGCGTTGACTGAGAGACTTATGTCTTAGTACCTTTTTAATAATTAATGGCAAAAATACACCTTGTGAAATATTGCTCAATTAGCTATATTTTATTAACCTACAATTATTCTCATATTTAGGAACGTAGTTCTCAGAAGGCCATTTCTAGGCTATTTTTTAGTTAGTGTTATGCTGAGAAAGTATTGGTAACCCTTCGACATGTTTACATTTTCTCATATTGCATGCACATGCTTTCTATCAAATGGAACAAGGCTTTCGAAAGTTATTAGAGATCTTTCAGCTTTAAAATTCGTTACAATGTCTTTATTTTCTATATTTATGGAAAGGATTCACAAAATAAATGTAAAAATCCTTTGTAAAAGCGATTGATTGTTTTATAAATTATAAAAAGTTACATTTTAATTCAAATTCCCCAGCTTTCAAAATTAAAATTCAAAATCTCCTATGATTTCTTTAGAAAAACTGTGGTCAAGTATAAAACCAAAATTAGACCAAAACCTTGCATCTAGCTTTAAAACATGTACTGTTTCTCTACAACTTGCTAAGGAACATTTATAAGATATTAGTTAGGGTGTAAGCATATATTTGATTCTCTGTGTGTAGTTTTAATCCTTTTTGAACTGAAGAAATACCACAATAAATTCAAACTTTATCACCAAATTCTTGTTTGTAGGCTTATTGTAAGTTGGGTTTGGAATTAGAATTTCAATCTACAAAAATATAACTTAAGAAAACCTCTAAAAAATAATCTGACATTCATTATGAGTTTCTCTGTAAAACCTCTGACTGCATAGAAAAACAAATATTTCCTATTATTTTTAGTGGGATTTTGTATGTGCTGCAATTCAGTGAAAAGTAAAGCTTTGACATGATGACCCTAACTAATAAGATCTAAATTATGGAAACACATAACGGCTTTTGCAATTAATTTACTTCTTATTCTCACTGTGTGACATAGTTAACTTTGCCTGCTTGGATACAGCTTTCTATTTTTTCCTCTGTTGTTCACTGTTTCCTGGTGTGTTGTCTCACACACCTCCTGACCACTCTGTCTCCCGCTTGCTGTAATATTCCCGAGGAAGTGCTATATTTACAGGTATAAATCAATTCGGAAAGGTTGGGCTTCTGGACATGAGTAATTCTGGGAGTGAGCAATCTTGCTCCCTAACACAGACAAATATGTGCACGAACTCGCTGCCTTTTCAGGAGCGTTTTGCAGTGGCATTTTCACATTTTGTCAAATTAGAATTGCAAACTTCCTTACATCTTATTCAGATTTTATGCATGAGTTTTTATTTGAGAGACACTCAAAATGGCCACAATGTCTCTGGAGGAGTGGCAGATTTCCACAGCAGCTGATGAGAAGTTGTGGGTTGATTACAGCTTTGCTGTCTGCCACATGTTGACGTGAAGCTGAGCAGAGCATCTGAAGCCGGGTTGCCTACCAATGTTTGCACACTTTCACACAATGATCTGCATCGGTGTGTGAGAACAGCTGGGTGAATGTGGCATTGTTTAAAGTCTGCAAAGAGACCGGCCCAGAAATTCACAGTCCAGACTTAAATCCAATTGAGAACTTGTGGCAAGATATGAAAATAAATGTGCAAAGTGAGCACTAGAAAGTAACAGCTGTAGTCATAGATTCTACAACCAATTGCCTCACAGGAGATTGAGATGTTTTTATTGCCATTTGTCTTCCCTTTCACCATAATGCTCTACTTTGTGTTGATTTATGCAATATACTTAAAGTTAGGATTGCATGTTTCAAAATTAGGTAAAACTGGAGATGTATGAATAGTTATGCAAGGGACTGCATTTTGTAAAACAGTAATGCATTATTTAGGTCTTCGTTTTTAAAATAGTTTGCCTAATTCTCTCACAATGTAAACAGTGAAAATATTTAGTTGAAAGTGAAACATCAAACGCTAACTTGATATCTTGATGAAGAAAACACTACAAAGATTTTCCCAACTGAAAATAGGATCTTTCAACTCTTTAAACCAGCTGTTTTTTTGAGAGAGGAATGTAGAAAATAGATCAAAAATAGATGACATTTCAAATATTCTGTACATATAGGGTTGGAAATAAGTATTTAGTTGTAAAATATTTGTTTCATTTGACTGATTTTGACAGAATGATCCCAGAATAGGAGTTTTTCTCAGCTTCACAGAAATCAGGAACTGTCACTCTGCAAAAACACATTTGTCCCAAATTTGACATTGATTTTTCATTCGGGGCTTTCCACCTTAACAGATATTTTCTGTTGCAATTTACAACCGTCTGACAATATTGGGAAAGAAGAACATAAGGAAGGAAGGAAGTAAAATAGAGCAGCGGTGAAAATAAACTTGGTGTATTATGTCTGCAGTGATATGGATGGTGAGTCAAGTTTGTGTCTGGAAGCGTCTGGTTCTTTGGGTTTTTCCCTAAAATTTGATGTTGGTTCATAGTACAAGACAAAACAATTCCCTTTGAGCTACTCTGATCAATTTAATCAGAAGATTAAAAAAAGAAAAAATGATTTGTTTGCACATTGGTTATCTATTTTGGCTTAAATCAAGTCAAAATAAAGAGTCACCTGCAGGCCTTTTAAACTGAATTTGCAGGCAAGAATTTGGTGACAGTGGAGAGAAAAAAAACCTCCAGCAGAACAAGATTGATGAGGGGAGCCATCTGCCTCTCCTGGTGAAAAGGACAGAGAAACGAGCATGTTAATATGCAACATTTGAGGACAAGAGGTACATGAAGTTATTTATTTATTTATTTTAGGATTTTTTAGCTTCTGTACAAATATTGAGCATTCTCAATCACAAATGCATGCTATTTGCAAACGTTTAAACCTGCCTTAATTATATACCATTAATACAGGTTGTTATTTTAGTTTTTATTAACGTTTAAAGCATTGCATCTTTACTGATTTGTCATAATTGAATCAGATCAAAAACAAAAGATCTTGACAAAAACGGCTCCTTTATGGTCCTGAGCTAGAACCGGTTTGTTGTGCTATGGGTGATGCTTGCAAAAGTGGAAAGAGAAAGAACTGGTGCTATGCAAGGACTAGCAGCGATTTAGTACTGGGAGAGTTCTGTGTGTGAAAAGACTGCGAGAACTGCTTATTCCTTGTTCCCACAACTGGGATTTATCTGTCAAAATGTTTCAGAGACAACTTTGCTCCAGCAGCATCTTTTTCGTAGCTTCATTTTTCTTTGACACATTGTGCCCTGACCTCTTCCAGATCGCATTTTGTTAAGACCAGACTTTAGATCACTGTTATTTAAAAATGCTTGCACCAAGCTGGATTTATGTTTCAAAGAGCACAAAAATCTAACTTTGCCTTGAAATTTAATTTAAGCTTTACATGCAACATTTCACCAGATGTGATGTACTTATTAAGGGTTATTCTTAGGATTCTGTCGCTCGTGATTTTTTTTCTTTAATTTTCTCAATTACGTAGCAGTATTTTACCATTTCTCTTGTGAATGCCAGCCTATAAAACTATTATTTTTTTAATCAAAACAGTTTAAAATAACAAACGCTCGCTCACATTAAAAATGCAGTTCGTTTGCTTTTCACCTTGGAGTCCACAAAGCCAGACCTGTGCTGGAGTAAGGCAAAGCTGCAAAACCACAAACTGAATTCTGTCTCCATTCATCATTCTGGCAGGTGTTGGAAAGTTCGCCGCAGATCATGTTTTTATGCAAAGCCCTCTGGAGGATCATACCAGATGAAAATCCTGAGTGTACAGTATGTTGACACATGATTTAAAATGTTAAATCAGTAAAGTGCATTCTTTAAATACGCCCCGCTTTGGGTTTCTCTCAATTTTTGCTTAATGATAGTGTTTATGATCTTGTCTGTGCATTGGCTCGTGGTTACAGCTCTCCATTAGATAAAATGCACCGCATGCTCCCTCTGTGTAACAAACAGCTTATTGTTTTTGGCAGGGACCGCTTTCTCTGAAAGGATCTGAGTGCCAAATGAGTCCAAGCCATGTGTGTTCATGTGCTGAGTGACATCTGTGGCTGCCTTCCTGCCTGCAGCAAATACTTCAGCTGGAAGTTCAGACCTGCAACGGAGGGACAACCTCTGTACTGTCTGAGCCGCTCACATCCAGGACCCTCCAGCCTTATGAAATCCGTCTGTTTGCCAGCTCAGTTCTGCTTTATTAACTCCAAATGTCTCCCCTAAAATTTGTCATCTGTGTTAGGAGCGACTGTGACGCACAGTCCACCCAGACCTCTGCTCAGATGCGCGGCATAAATCACAGTGGAACCAAATTAGAATCTAAAATAAGGAACAGAGGGGGATATTTTGGTGAGCCTTTAATAACTCAGCTGCTTGTTCTAGGTGGAACAGTTGAGCTGGCATCCTGCTAAACCCAACAGAGCCCCAGATAATGGTGTGGATAAAATCTGACATGTATTAAAAGGAACAATGAAAAATGGCTCCCCTGATCACTTGTTCCACTGTGATATATTAAAATTTTATCGCAATATTAAACGCAGAGAGCAGCAAAAAGTTGAAGAATATTTTCGGTTTCATAAAGCAGCTTCTGCTCTCTTCTCAATAAAATTAAGATGCTTTCAGGAATCTTGATTAACATTATGCATTTTCTACAACATCTTAATGCAATAAAGGCTTTCACTGAAGATACAATTTGGTCTAATCTGTGGTTTAAGCAGACTTTGCATCTACCAAAGGCCTTCTTCAATCTTGTGGACCCCGAGAAAACTTAAATTCTCCCAGGAAAGCTTTATAAATGCACCATTACTATTATGGGAAGAGTTAGAACCTAAAACCAATAAAACAATTTCCACTATAACAATTTACAAATGGATGGATGAAAAAGATCAAATTTTGTTATTAGTGCACATAAATGCATCAACCAGTATCAAATCCCTGAGCCTTAATTCATGTTTGTCATGTTCCATTTTTTATTTTGAAATTAAAGTATCTTTATTATCTGTATGTATGTTTACAAATCATATTTTATTATAATAAAAATAAGTGACTTGCTGCTGATTGAGTTTTAAATTCTGCCAGTTGTTTTGGTGATTTATGCAAACTTAGTTCTGGGTATTTGTTTTGTTTGCCTAAACTCAAGTCTATCACCAGTTTGAAGCTGCTGGAATACCAGTTACATTGTCCACATAAAGCCAGTTAAATGTGGCTTTATGTGGATAACAGGATTATTGAAATACCTGTTACAAATTCTACTGCAATTCTACTGCAAGTTATGATGATTTCTTTTGCAGCTAACACACGTGCAAAATGATCTGAAGCGCATCTGTTGTATCGTTCAATTTGGCAATCAGATCAGTACTTTTTCACATTCTTACCTTTGATCCTGATGACTTCACTATAATACAATAGAGGTAAATATTTTTATCGGAAAGCTTTGAAACACAGAAAGCTCTTTCCAAATAACTAACGCGATTAGCCTGAACAAGCGTCCAGAAAAAGTGTGAACTGTCGCCACAAAAACTGCAAACACAAGGACTACAAAACATTTGAGTCACTACCAAAGCCTTTGGCCATGACTCTACTTTTGGGCCTCCACAAGAGGGCTCTCTTTGAGAGTTGAAAAAAGAGAAGAAAACAGCTAAAAATGTTGTTTTTTTTTCTTTCTTGCATTAGTAACTGAGCCACTAGATTAACTTAACTCAAATAATTTATCAATAGATTATTTATTTTTGTGAGCTGTTAGTTTGTATATTCAGTTTCTTAAACTTAATTATACATAATGAAGGCTTGAAGAAACAAACATTTCGTAATCTGACTTTAAACCACATTCTTCCAACCATTGAAAATAATGCAATCATGTTAAATACTCCACACCAGAAAATAATTATGTAGTGGTGTCACATGCTCCGGAGCACATTGAAGGAAATAATTTCAAATACTTAAATTGATTTATATATATTTTTTTTGTTAGAACATTTAAAAATATTTCCAGCGCCCACCCAATGTTGTACAGGGCCTTGAGCTGAATGGGTCCTGCGAGCCCCCCACAGGTAAGACTTGGGCGTGGCTGAATCAAAATCCAAAGAATAAATTAACCACAATCTGCTGCATAATGTTAATTCTCAGTAAACATGTAAATTCTCAATGTCAAATTAATTTTCATAATATGTTGATTGGTTTCAATGAAAAATACGATAATTTTTAGATTTGATGTTTGGAACAATGGAGCAAAGATCAATGCATTGTTTAATCAAAACTAAGTTTATAAAAATGTAAGTATAATCAAATAAATAATGCTTAATGGTAAAAACTGAAGAAAAAACCCCCCCGCAATAGAACAAATAACAACAACAATGATAATAATAATAAAAACTGATTGTGGAAGGAGGGTTAATATTGGGGTCAACTAACAGCCAAGCTAGAAACAGTTTCTTTTAAACAACAAAACAATTTCTGTGTGAATAATTAAGGCTCCTGAGGATGGGGGCATTAAGCAGCAGCTTGGTTCGCTTGTTTTGGAGCCGATCCTAGATAATCACATTAAGAGAAATGACACAATGATCTCAAAACAAACTTTTACTCTTCTGGCATGTAATTGACTCCAAGTACTTTGACTGTGTTTTTAATCAACTGTGCTGTAGAAGTTAACATGCTTTAATAGTTTGATTATTTTTCTGGTCCCCAGCTGTTTATGCTGCATAAATGTGTTATATTCTTGAATCATTAATTTAATTAGCTAATGTTTATCTCAGTAATTACCAATTACGTCTTAATAGCTTTTATATTAAATCAGCTTTTTTTTTAAACATAAAGTCTATTTTTAATTCATTTAGAAATAACATACAATAACACTATCGCGTCGTTTGTCTGTTTGTTTGTGTATTCGTGGTAATAAAGAGCCGGGGGAGACTCGTTTCAGATTTGGCCTCTAACTCCCGTCAAATGATAAACACTGTGCCGGGATCGTTTCTACATTCCGTCTCTTTATTTATTGACCCGTTTGCAGCCGCGGCCGTGTGTTGATGGGTTTATGCACCATGTCTGAGCTCGGCTGCAGGTATCTGTTTTCTGCTTCCAGTCCGTCCTGGTTGTCTGTCTCTGTGTGTTTTCTGGTTGCTATGGGTGGAGCCAGCACGGCACCGCGTCTCTGGGGCCTCCTCTCGCATTATTTTCATCCATGCTTACGTCTGGGAGCCGAGTGTTCCGCATTCCTGAGCCTCTCACTTGGTACTTAAACGGGCTGATGCAACGACCTCCGCTCAGTCCTCAAAGCTGCCTGACTCCTGGCTGCCTCAGCGTGACGTTTATTCTCACACTGCGGGGATTTTTTTTTTTTTTTTTACTGATTTGGACGCAAAACAGGCAAGTGTGTGTTTTAACAGTCTGCTTTTAAGCTCGCGCGCAGCCACCTTTTTTCTCTTGAGTTGGTTCAATATTTGCATATTGTTTTTCATACTTTCTTTCCACCACGTCGTAAGGGATTTCTAACACTTGTTAGTTTAGCTTGACGGTGAGGGCTTGTGCGACATTATTGCTGAGTTATTTGCACATATTTCGGGGCGGTTTCTTACTCATTTTTAGCGAGAAAAGTGCTCGGCTTTTGAACGGCTGTAAAGTTTTCCGTCCGCCGCTGCCACAAACGGAGCCGTTAGGGACGTTGTTGTTCCAACTGTTGTGGCAACTGTCGTGTTTCCAGCTCGATATCTGGCCTCGGTCTGGAGATATTTTCATCTTCCATCATCCGTAATGTCCGTCAGCCTGTTGAAGACGGTTATGTAACGCTATTACACACACACACACACACTCTCACTCTCTCTCTCTCCCTCTCTCTCTCACACACACTCACACAGAGCAGGTTGTACAGAAGTTGCCCGCTAGCTTAGCCGACTGCTGCAGCAGTTAGACGCCCTGTAGCAGAGACGGTTTTGAGGCGCTGTGGGGCCCCGGGTCACTGCTTTCTAATAAGTGCCCCTACAAAAATTGACAGAATAGCACCATAAATAATAAAGGAGTTTTTAGGGGTTTTTTGTCTTTAATGCATCCATTTGTGTTAATTTCTCTTTTGTTTTATGCATTTTATTGTGACCTACTGAGCAACAGACCAAACTGTAACAGTTGATCTGATTTAGATTTGTGTCAATTGTAAGTGGACGTGGTTTAGACCCTGTGATTCCAGAGGCCCTCTAGAGTGGCTCCTACTAACTTTGGCCAATAATTATTTTGATTGTAGTCATACTTTGATATATAAATGGAATAGAAAAAGTTTTGTGAAGTATCAACAAATGGATTTTCCACAGCCTTTTATATTTATAGGAAACAGTGATGCTTTTCATTCTTTTGAAACTGCAAATAGGTAATAAAATTGTGGCTCTTCAATATCGCCACTGAGCAAGCAATTTATATATAGTGTTTTTTGTTAAAACCACTACAAAAGTTAAGTAGATTTTGCAGGTCTACTTAATATTAATTTTGGAAAATTTAGATTTAAAATGGTTCTTTGGATTGTAAAGGTTTCTAACCACTGATCTGGCTTTACAGCAGCATTTTACTGGTGTAAAATTTGTTTCAGATTAGATTTAAAATTAGAAAATCATATGGACCTCAAAGAAGGATGTAAAACATGCAAAAGTGCTGTCAAATGACATTAATTTAATGCAGTATGAATTAGGAAGGCAGAATGTGTTGAATGGTAATTAGCTTTGTAATGTCCTCTTATACTGTAGAGTTAGTCAGAACTGTCATTGAGAAAAGCAATTGTAATTTCTACTGTATGTTTAGTCTGATAATGTTAAGTGAAATAGTGATCTCTGGGAATAGATGTTCTCCATTAACAGAGCCACTTTACCTCCAACATTCATCCAACAAACTGAATGTCTTATTGAGATCCAGAATGTGATTCATCACAATTTGAAATAATAACCCAACAAATATTACATTTCAAACAATCCTTTGCAAACTTATGAATGCACACACTGATACTCAGATGATGATACATGGTGCAGCTCTTACTTAGAAAAGGTGTATTAATAGTAATCAAAATTGTTGACACAATCTTCAGCAAAGATATTGCAATCACTTGTGCATGAACTTGTGCAGTCTTAGTGGGCACACAGAAAGAGATAGTGAAAGAGAGAAATAATGGAAGCTGCCATAAAAATAAAGTGAGTTTTCTTCTGAATAAATTTGCATGCAGAACTAACACTAATATGTTTAATTTCTTCCCTTCTAACTTTAATTATGCACCCATAAATAATCAATTTCCTCCCCATACACTTACACTATTCCATGTTACTATGTGTGTTCATAAATCATGAATGACTAGTTGTCCTCTTGTATATTTCATTCTAATAATTTACTGTTTTCTAAAAACTGTATTTCACCTGTTTCCACTGACTGCAGTTACAGTTGACTGAGAGGTCATACAAGATGACCACAAATTCAAAGAATACTTAAAAATACACAGGTTGTCAAGGCAGATCCAACATGTTTCTGCGACAGAGTTGATGTATGAGACGTTCTGTTGCGTGCGCCTCCGTTTTGTACCTAACTTTCTTAGGAGGAGTACAACAGGAATTGATTGTGGTCCCCAACTGACCACTCACTGCATTTCTGGCTGATGCTGTGACAAATATCCTCTTTACTCCTGCAGGGCGTCCAAACACGGTTCATCATTGACAGAAGACGACTGACAAGTTCCCTCTGAGTAAGTATGAAGCATATCAAATCTATTCAGTTTGCTTTGTTTCTAATTGAGATGCTCCCTTGAGTTCCAACGTCTGCTCCACTGCACACAGACACAAAGACAAATCATGTCTTGGCTAATTCAACATGAAACACGAGTGATGTAAATGAAGTGTGAAGTTTCAGCTGAGGCTGTGAGCTCAGACTGCCTCGCTTTTCTTTGCTTTGGCTTGTCAGCGTGTACAAGTTTGAATCGGCCAAATTCTAAATGAGGAAGGAGACACGTTTTGTGTCTTGGCCAGCATCTCTGCACTCAGTGACCTGAAGGTTAAAGGTCATGTGTGCAACATTAAAGAGGATTTGTTGTGGTGACTTGTGTTTGTGGCTTTGTGTTAGTTTCATCCCTTACAAGTTCAAAGGTTCAGCCTGCAGGCAAGCCCCATCACCTGGTGCAGTTGCATGCTTGTACAAATATACACGCCTCACTGGGGAAACTATTTGCACGCTTTATAAATATATATGCATATATATTTGTATATATATTTCCTTTGTGTCTGAGTGTGTGTGTTGTGGAGGGTTTAAATGCCCCAGCTCCTGCCCGGACACATCAGTGAGATGGTTTCCGCATAAGTGGAACACTGCGGTGGATTAATGGGAAAGGGCTGGCGAGCCGACGAGTAGCGCGGGCACCGACGGTTGTGGTGGTGGGGGGGCCTCGGAGGCTGAACGCGGGCGCACAGAGTTTATTTTAAGTAGAAATGCCTTCCAGAGCGTCTCCGGAGAGGTAGGATTGCCGGGCTGAGCTCCAGCTCGCTGAATAGACGGCAGACGCATTGCAGGCGAGCGAGCCAGCTATGCAACAGCTCAGTGGTACTAATACTACTGCTGGGAGAGCAGCTATTCACTGCTCTACGTATCACATTATCAGTATTAGCCCCTCATAAGCCTTTCCACATGGTTTATGAAAACAGTGCTCGACATGAACACCCAAAAAGGTTTAACCCTGAAAGAAAAATGTATATATATATTTTTTTCATAGATATAATTTCCAGAGTTATTGAATGCCATTTTGGGACAGAAGCCAGTTTTTCTTTCTTTTTTTTTTTTTTTCTTTCTTCTATTTAGACAAAAAGCACCCCTGTCAGAAAATATTGACCCAAAACCCCGATCTTTAGCTCCTGGTTTCGAAGACACTGTACCTTGTTTGATCACTCCAGCAGCGCCTGCACTGTGCAAGTGTGTGCTTGACACGCTGCAGATGAGGAAACATCCGAGGACAAAGTATAAAAAGAGCGCCGAAGTGACAAGCGGCCATTGCGCAACGCCCGGTGATTGCTTCAGCAGGCTGGATTAAATCAAATTGTCTGAATGTGCTTGTCAGGGATTGCTCACAGCTTGCCTTAGATTTGTCACAGAAGCCATCTCTACATGGTGTAAAGAGCTTTTGTCTGCATTTTGTATATTTTGATTAATTTAATCCCCGTCTGAGCCTAGCTCAAACTCGCTGCCGTGCGGTCTAATCTTGACTTACAACATGGGGGAACAAAAGAAGAAGGAAAAAGAAATGCTAACATTATAATAAGTCAACCAGGACCACCCAGATGCACGGTGAAGATGTGTGTTTGAACGGGATGAAGCAAGCCAAGGACTCCTCCAGACAATGATCTCACAGCAGGGGAAAAAAAAAACGAAAATTTTTTTAGGCTTAGTTCTGCAGAAGTGCTTCATGCATGCATTTCAGCATCATCAACAAAGACAACAGATTAAATGTAAACAGAATAGCTCTTCACAACAGTTCCGTCTATCCATGGAAAATATATCTAAAGAAATAAAAGCTGAAATGAAACGTGTTTTGATCACAACTTCCACTCTCGATCGCAGTTGACTTTTAGTTCATGGTCTGCGTCTGGCCGCCACGCTCCAGTGAAAATAGAACAAAGGGCTGCAGACACATTGATACCGTATATTTGGAGTTTTAAGTGTCCTGTCCTCGAGGAAAGTCTCTGCCAAACTCCCCGGTTTTCCCTCCCGGAGGATTGCGAAATGCTGAAACTCAGCACAAGCACAAAGGCCCGACTGAGTGCAGACGATAATGATGATCGCCAAGACCTAGGCCTGGAGAGTGAGAGAGTGCGCCTTGGCTACAGATTCTCTTCTCCTCCTGCTCTTATTCCTGTAAATCCTGTGCTTTTGTGGGGTAAAAACTCTTAAAGTTATAATGCTTTCTTTTATAAAGTAGAAGCTTGTAAGACTAGAGCAGCCTTGGGAAACCTGAGCCCTTTCTCAGGCTTTTCACACAGTTTGAAAAAGTATGTAAGGGAATATACTTTGACACTTTATTCCTGAATTTTTATTATCTAAATTTCTATCCATCACCTGGTTTTTGTGTGATGTAAGATCTGCCCCAAATTTATAACTTTTGCATTTATACTTTGACCACTGGATAAAGTACAAACTTTTAACTTAATTTAAAAATGTACCAGAACCCTACAGCACTGCTTCCCGCCCCTCCTGTGGTGCACCTTTAAATGAATGAATAAGGATATCGGGCCCCTGGCTGTGCCTCTGCCTGCAGGTGGGAGCCTGAATTCCTCGGCCCTGGTAATTGCGTTCAGGAAACGGACATGTTTAGTAAAGCTGAAGATGGATAAATTATGTGAGCAGACAAAACCGGTGAACTGCACCACCTGCCCAGTCAACACCCCCCCCTCTGGCGTTCTCGCTTCACACACCTCTGCCTCCTGCTAACTTGGATCGTAGATATTTCTCTTGGGATGAATGCCAGAGAATGAATAGAATCGGCTTCCATTTCTCCGTGTGTATACACACATACACACACACATGCATAGTAGTTGGCATTTCCGCTCCCGGCTCCTGCATTCAAACTCACTGGTTTAGTTTTGTAGGTGATGGCCCGGAACGGTGCGGTAGTAGATTGTTCTGCTCCACTGCTGAAATGCAGTTGCGTCATCCAGACACTGACCGCTAATCGTTAGCTGCAAGCTGCTGCTTGGAGGGTAGGAAAAAAAAACACACACACACACACACAGAAATACCCTCCTTTTCAAAAATATAGAATTCACTTTGACTCATCCTTTAATTTTGGAATTATGCCCTGCAAGGCACGCATCAGCAAACCCCCTCTCCATCCCCACCCCCGTGTCGCACAGACGGGGCTTCTGCAGAGTTTCATGTCTCGAGGCTCAGATGGCTGTTGAGTTTGCGAGGGGGATTTTCACAATCTGAGACGAAGGTTAAAAGCACCGACGTTTCTGCTCAGACTTTCCAAGAACAGAACAATGCAAACTTTTCTGGAAAAGCTTGCAGCTTGAAACTCTTCTTTGAATTTGTCTGTTGGCAGATCTGCCTCTATATCGCTTTTTTTTATCTGATTTGTCTCCACACAGACAAGTCGTGCTGTTTATGTTTACATGCTGAGTAAATAAGGACTTTACATTCAGAATATTTTTCAAGAACACATTGTTGCATTAAATCATGCCTAAGTAATGTTAAAACTGATTACTCTGAAATTGTTATTTTATGTTACAAATAATGAATTGTTAATTTGGCGGCCGTTTAAAATACTGCTTCTGTTTGGCTCTGATCAGTCCTGTCTGGGTTTGAGTTAGTTCAGATTGCCTCTTATTTTAATTGCGTCACACTTAATTAAAAATATGTACACCAGAGCTACAAGAAGACTCAAATTGAGCTATTTTTAGTATCGTTGACGACGCTTAAAAAATGAAATAAAAACATTTCTATAACTTTTCAACAGGATGTGTGAGGTTTATTCTGGCTGTGAGCTAGATTTGCATTGTCATTGCTGTCAACTCAGTTTTATAGTGACTGAGCTCTCAAACATGTTGTGACATCAGCTTTGTTTTAGATAAATACATAATATCCTCTCAGGGCACGTAAGTTCATTAAAAATATATTCTATTACATTTCTTTGTGTGAAATTGATATCAGCAAATTAAAAGTGTTACAAAAGCCTCTTATCGGAAGTCTTCCACAAAAAAATTCTGATTTTTACATCTGTACCTACTGGCAAGAAATGAGCACAAACGCGCCTAAACCCTCAGTGATCTTTTGAGATCTTGCTTTTGTCTGCAGCCGGTGTAGTGGATCTCTCCCGATCAGTTCCCCTTGTTCTTTGACATCCTGTCTGCAAAATGAGAAATCCTTGAACACGCCGCCAAATCTCTCCTGGGACTGTCACAGGGTGGGGAGCAAGAAATTTTTTTCTCTCTCTTTATGTCTTATTCCTCTTCTCTGCAGTAAAAGCAAACGCTGGCTGCCAAGTAGTGTAACTGAACAAATGTACAGTGGAAGAGACAGAGGAGGGAAGGGCTGCGAGGACTTAAGTAATAAAAGTGAATCATGAGCTGCTGGCTCCATTTTCTGGAGTAACAGAAATGTCATAAAGGACAATTAAAGAAATATTTAATATATACTATTGCATGTAAAGATGAAGCCAGTCACAGGGAATTTCAAAGTTATCTCAGGTTTGTTTACGATGTATTTACTTTTTGTGCAACATTCTGTGACATCTACACTCGAGCCTGAAATCCTTCCGGTATTGATTCACTTGTTTGGTCTCCATCATGCATTACAGTCCCAACTGTGAAACCAGACTTAGTGCATAAGCAGGGTGGAGCTCATCAGAGCCGAGTTACATAACCCTGCGTTTTATGACCTCCTTTACTGCCTTTGTAATAGACTTGAGTTTATACTGGTCGGGGGGCCAAGGGGAGGGTGGGGGATAAAAAGACGACCAACGAGAAACAGTCTCACTTTCAATCCAGTCATTGAGGCTGTCGGATAGTAAACCCACCAGCAGAGTCAGCTGTTTTCACAGCGCCTCACAATACGCGTCTTTGTTGGTTCCATATGAGAGGGGCTTTGTTCGGTCGGAGGCGAACCTGTGGAGGTTCAGCTGCAGCTGAAAGCTCAGGAAGCGAATGTGAATAAAGCTATTAATCTCAAACTTCCAGTGCCATCATGTGCCTGTTTTGACGCTCGGCGTAGCTCCAGGGTTTTCTTGCTAATCTCCGTCTGTTGTCAACTTGAGCTTCGGGTTGATCAGGCTTCAGGTGTGAAGGTGTTTTTTGTGGAAAAACGATTTGTTCCTGCCCGTCTCTTTCCTCTCTCCTCTTTCTCCTCTCAGATCGCAGGGCTGGGCAGGGTAGAGTCTGTTCTCATCTGGTTTTTATTTGACCATCAGAGGTTTTCCAACTCAACTCGACCTCAAAGCAATTAGAGCGACGTCTTAATTCCCCAGCCTCTTCCTTTTTATTCCTGCCCCACCGTGTCCCTAATTCCTCCCTGATTGCGTTAAAGATGGCTGTGGTCAGACCCTGTAGAACTGCCCTAAATTATTGGAAGAAGGGTGGTGATTGAATGCACCAGCTTGGCTTTGATGTGTTGTGATTCCCTCCTAAAAAAAAAAACACACAGAAAAAAGAAATGGACACAGACGTCCAAAAGCAATAAAGTGATTGGAGCCATTGCTGCTTTATTTACGCGATCAGAGCGAAGGCTGCCCAGGCTTCCCTTTGCACGTGAAACTACATCAATGAGTGTGTAAATGCAGAGTTTTTTTTTTTTTTTTTTTACCAGCAGCTGACGAGAAAGATAACACAACTTTCAAAGCTGTGGGCTTTCGATTGCATTCTTGGAACTGGTAACCTATATTTAAAGACTTCTGATGACAAAGACAGATTTTTTGTTTCAGAAGATGCATTTGATTGTTTTCAACAGGATGGGCGTTCCTCTTTCTTTTTCTGCACATTTAGTCAGTCGCACCTCTTAACCAGCAGTTTACAACCGTCTAAATACTGGATTGCTGCAGCTTGACTGTGAACATCCCCCGCTAATCTTTCCCTGTTCCCTTTTTCTTTTCTCTCGCAAACCACAGCGACGGCTTTTGGCCGGGTTGGACATGATGCCAGGACAGATACCTGACCCTTCGCTGGCGGCAGGCTCCCTGCCCAGCCTCGGCCCGCTGGCGGGCATCTCGGCCACCACCCTCACCGACCAGCTGAAGCTGGCAGACTTCCACCAGCTGGGCACCATGCTGTCGCCACTGCATTTCCTGGGGAGGCTGGGGAAGAGGCCACTGGCCATCAAGACGGAGGTGAGGAAACATGCGATGCAGATGAGATGGATGGGAGAAACGGAGCTCAGGTCAGCAGACACAGAACACACAGGGAGTGACTGTTCCTTCATGATTATTTGCAGATGGACGAAGATGAAGAAAGACGGAAACGAAGACGAGAGAAAAACAAAGTAGCGGCAGCGAGGTGCCGAAACAAAAAGAAGGAACGCACCGACTTCCTCCAAAGGGTGGGTTCATGACTCAGCTATATGTACCCAGTAGCAGCAGAGAAGTTGGGGTCAACACTAAACTGACTTTGTTTCACTAAGTTTCAGTAATAGCTTAATGCAGCTCTACACCATTAAAACGACCACTATGGCATCTGATTAAGTTTTATTTAATTAGTTTAATTTCAAGATTCATATTCAAACGTTCTTTCCATAAATGCAAACTCAGGAACAATTTAGGAAACAAAACTCCATGAGTAAAGATGTCTGATATAATATGTTTCTACTCATATTACAAAAACAGGCAACCAACTTTTTTAGGGTTACCAAAACAACAGCCTACAGCATCTTTTTCAAAAACAGTACTATAAAATAAATTTGTAATAGTTTTTTCTTCAGAGGGTCTGTCAAATTGCACAACTCAACCTCCCCCTCAAAAAAAAGATCATAGTTATTGAAATATTTGTATAAATAATATAAACATAGGGTCCAACATTAAACCTCATAGGACTCCTCATTTCTGAACACAGTGATTTTCTCATTATGTATCTTGTAAAACTACATTTGTGTTCAAACCTTTTTCAAGTACTTCAGTAAATTGTGGGAGAAATGACATTTGTCTATATTTGTCAAAGTAATACTTACTTTTTCACAAGAAACGTCAGTGTGTTAAGTTTACTACTTTACCGTCTCCATGTGTCTAACGGTTCCACGTCTTTCTTCAGGAATCAGAGCGTCTGGAAACGGTGAACTCGGAGCTGAAGGCCCAGATCGAGGAGCTCCGTCTGGAGAGGCAGCAGCTAATGGTGATGCTCAACCTCCACCGGCCCACCTGCATTGTGCGGACCGACAGTGTGAAGACACCCGAGGGCGAGGCCAACCCGCTGCTGGAGCAGCTGTCCGCCGAAACCAAGTGAGAAGAGCGGACTCAAAGTCCTGCAGGCTGAACTTTGACTGCCGAGGCAGACATCTGAACAACAACAATAAAAACCCACATACCTGGCAAAATTATTCTGAATGAGCACCTGAGCTCCAGGGTGGAGACTTTTGCCCAAAGATCGGAGAATGTGGGGCTTCCTCAGTACTGCGACGTGGAGCTGGCTCTGTCCATTGGGAGACTGGAAACACCCACTGTGCCTGTCATCCATCTTTTCCTTAAAGGGACCAATGGAAGTAGACGATCTGGCTGGAGAAAGCCCAGAGGATTGACACTAACAGCAACATGGTGCTTTGTTACCAAAGAACTGCGTAGATTGACTTAGGAGATCTGCAGTCTTCCTACGTATTCTAGTCATATTACACAGGTGTAGAGCTTTTAGGTTACAGCACCCAGTACAAAAATACACCAGTGGGAGAACAGTTGTTTTTTGTATTTAGTATTTTAAACCCTGCCTTGACGATGGCAGGTACCGGTTGATCCGATTAGTGGTGGCGCTGGCGTCATGAGAAGCACATATTCACAAATTGTTTACACACTTATTTTTTAGACTTGAGTTTTCATCATTGTACTTGTTTTATATGGCTTTGTATACATGAAACATACAAAAATGCTTTGTTAATCACTTGAGGTGATTTTTGTCTTTTTTTTCCATCTTTCCTAATCTGTCAGACAGCTGCAAAAAGAAGCTGAGTGTCTGCATCTGTATCTGTGTATGAACCTGCATATCCTGAAAAGATTAAAGTTTATTTTCTAACGAAGACGGAGTACATGCTGTTGTTGGTCTTTCTTTATGCTCCTGAAAAGCAACTGTCTCAAGTTTTCTGCTGTCGTGACACCATCGCGATCAAATATCAAACGCTGGATGATCACGTTTTCTTCCATGAAGGCGTATTGCCAGAATCAAGTCTTTATTTTGATTTACACAACTCTGAGAGGGACAGACGCACTTTCATGTCCTTCTCTCTTGATTGCTTCGTTTTTATTCCTGGTTCAGCAGAGAAAATGTGAAATGTGCAGACATGGCAGAGATTTAACTGACTAGTATCACCTATCACTCTGCTACTGACTGCCAATCGCTGATTGCCTCTACCAGATACTTTGAGTAATTCTCCAAGCTGAAAGCTTATACAGAATGGCTGATATCCAGAATTTCCGACTGCACTTTATGGAAAACAGATACAATTCAGCTGCAGAAATCATTACATGAGCTCAAGAAACCCTCTGAAGGTCTGTCAGTTTGCTGCTTTATCCACAAATCCAAATGAAAGCCACAGTATGAAAAGGAAAGTTATCACAGCTGACTTGCACGGAGCCGATCTAATAGTTTAATCTGCAATATTACGATCATATGTTTTGCAGTGAATCCATACTGCTACCAGACAATGCAGCCTCTGTTGTATCTTTCATTCCTGCCTAAACATGTGGTGCTATGGCACGCTGCCCAGCCAGCACGCACGACTCGCTGCCCTGGAGTACGGACACACATCTCAGGTGTTGCTTGCAGAGTAAAACACAAACAGATGAGGGATTGGGCCACTGAAAAGCAGAAACGCTACGCTGGATGGGAAAGGCTAAGTAGGCTACTTTCAAAACAATTTGCATCTCAGTTCCTGAAACACAATCCCAATGCAAAAAAAAAAATAAAAAATCTCCCTACAACTCAAATCAAGCCATAGCAAATTATTTACAATTAATGAATAAAACACAGATAGACTGAATAACAGATCAAACTGTTATTCCATATAATTAATATGTCTTCAAGATATTTTATATATGGCTCAGCAGCAGTCACTTATCAGCAATTCAGCATTTAAACAGTTGGATGCAGAAGGCTGTGTAGCCATCTGGTGGTTTTTATTATTTCATCAGATTTATTTGATCGTAAAATTTGTGGAGATTTCAGAAAGTGTCTCTCTCCAGAGGTCATTTCACAATAAGCAGGCCAGTTAACCTAACGGTCACATTTCTGGGCTGTGGGAGGAAGCGAGAATCCGGAGGACCCACGCATGCGCGGGAGGGCACGCAAACTCATTTTGTGTGTTTGTGTGCGAAAGTAATATAGTGAAAAAAAAAAAAAAAAAAAAAAAAGGGCCTGACGGTCAAGATGAACATTATGACTGCGATTGATGGTCAACATCGCCCTCTAGTGGACACTGTGGGAAACTTCACAAAGGAAACGACGGTACAAAAGACTGATTTTGAAACAGACGACTTAATTTTTTTTATTTGACTTGTGAATCATTTTATAAGGAAAGGCTGTTTTTCTGAAATTTGCACACCATGTAATTGTGTTTTAGAGCTATTTTGTATGCCACTGACTTCCTTATCCTAGGATTCTTAGTTATTGTTCCCTTTTCTTGTGGTTTTCATCTCTTTTTCTTTTCAGATGTGATGAATCAGATAAAGAGCTAACTGTGTATTCTCTGTAGGCTGGTCAACAGTTAGGAGCAGTCATGGTTTCCTCCTCCCTGTGCAAATCGGATAAAATCCTCGTCAACTTTAACTTCTAGTTGAAGCTCTAGGGGGCAGGCAATCCCTTCAGTGAGACCAAAATTCTTACCTTAAATATATATTAATGTGGATATTTGCTTCTTAGTGTTGAATAGTAGGAATGAAGATTACAAACTAGCTTAAATCATGTTCACGTTCTTTTGTTTGAAAGAACAGCAGGCAGAAGTTCATTGCAAGCCCTAAAGGTGCAGAATACTGAGTACACGTAGAGGGCCTCGTTAATTTAGTCACAGTACAACCACAAATTTCTGCCTATTGCAGTGACGGTGCATGAGATAGGTTAAAATGTTGAAGGCATGTTTCTGCTCCAGCTTCAAGTCTGCTGCAGACTTTAACCGGTTTTCCTCCAGGTCTGTTGCAGACTCGTAAACGTCTGACACCAACCAGCAGCGTGGCCCTCGCCATCAGGGCCGCCGGTCTTGGGTCCACCGCTTCATTCACCGCGACGATCTTCAGGTATGACAACTGAACAGGAGTGCGAAGAAGCAGGGGTCCACATCAAAAGAGGCGAGCGAGACAAAGAATAGGGCCAGATGCTGCTGAATGAACGCTCTGAATGAAGCAGTTTGTAAAGGAGAGAGCAGGCTCATGAATAGGGATGCTCAGCATTACTCATGCAGGCGCTGCAGAGCCGCGATGGAAGGATGTGCCGGTGAATTGTCTCAAGGTGTGATACCCGATTAATTTCTGTCAGGTGGCTCTACTGGCAACAAGAAAACGATGACATAAATGTACCTGCTCTGTGTGTCACGTGTAAATAAAACCGTTCAGCAATTACACTCACTGTGGCCATGAATTTACTAATTTGGAGCGCCAGATGATTTTTGAAAACTTATTTTTTCTTCCAAGGATGGAGAGATTTTAATAATATTGAAAAGCAAATCATTTTGAATTTATGTTAGATTTTATGAGCCATGATGTAATTCACAGAGTACAAAATTATACAATTACCAAAACCTGCCCATGCAATTTAGGCATGAAGACATTTTTCTTCATTCTTTTCCCTAAGATCATTCAACATATTCTGTTCATGCCATTTAATTTTTGTTTTTAATCCATGTGTTAATTTGATTATTTTTTCATTTTTATGCTCTGACTCTGAAGCACTTCCTGGGTCCAACTTGACAACAAATTCAATTTCAAATTGGATTTGGATGAAAAAAAAGAGACTCAGATTGAGTTTAGCTTCTGGAATAGTCTTTCCAAATCCTGGACTTTAACTCTACTGAATTCATCAATGATTTTGGCTGGTTAGTTGACCAGGTTCCTTAGAATTAGAGGAATTTATTGAGCGACCAAGCTTTTTAAAAATAGTTTGCAACTTTAAAAAAAGACCTTTCTGAAACCAAAAGGTACCAGTTGTGATTTGCATTTTAGATTGCTGTTGGATCACCCAGTTTATATATTTTTGTTATGGTCCTCATTGGTCTGCATCTGCATTTTGATTCAAAAATTATTTTACAGGCACTCATGCAGGCGCTGCAAAGTATGCTTTAATGCAAAGTGTTTAAAACTTAAAAAAAATAAAAATAATGACAGTTTCTTAGACATTCGGGAACAGCCATTTAGTTATAAAAAAACCCAGTTTAAATTACACTGATCATACATAGTTCTTATAAAATGCAATGGAAATAATTAGCCTGTTTAGAAGAGAAGCAAAACAGAATAATTTAGGTAAATTATCTCTCTGATCTGGCTTAATGAAAACAAACACCTAGCTGCCAATTTCTGATGTGCCATCTTTCATCTGAATGGACACAAAGACTTGAAACCCACGTCTTATTGAGCAGTCTGATTGTAAATTCACAGATTTGGCCAAATTTCCAAGACAAACATAAAAAACCTGCCAACAAACCCTCTCAGATATCTATGCACCCCCGGGCACACGCTGCCAATTAGCATGATCTCAAAAGTGCTAATGGAATCTTGAGCCGTCATAAAAGTAAATAATTAAATTAAAGGGGCTCTTGTGTCATTGTCTGCTGTATTTGGACCCATTAGAACCTCCAGTATTCTCATGGTAATTGAATGTTTCTGGGGTGGGGGGTGTTTTTTTGTCTCGTAATGAATTCTGTGTTTTCCCTCCAAACGGAGTTGTTCAGACATTTGTGTAGGTTCTGGCAGAGAAACAAAGACGTACATTAGGAGCTATTGTCGCCCCCTTCTCGCGATTATTAAAGTAAACATGAAACCCTGAAGAGGCATCATACCCAGCTGCACGCACTTGAGCTTGTGTTTGTGAAGTGGGAGAAAAGGCCAAGCAACCCTCAAGACTTTGTCAGAGATGATCCCATTATTCGAAGCATCTCAAGAGTCGGGGGAGGTGAGGCGGGTTGGGGCCGCTGTGCGGCCCGACATGGGCTTTGAAGATCCGTTTTGGCACACAGCTCATCCGCCTGATCAGAACTGGAGGAGCGGGACGGATTTGGCATGAGATAAAATGTTTCGGCAAAGATTGACAAATGAGGAGCTGGCTTCATTTTTGCCGCCACAATACTTCCAAGTCTTTATGAAGAAAAAAAGAAAAAACAAAAGGTCGTCACTAGAATATAAATTTGCAGCTATGCACATTTTTTTTTTTTGTCTCAGACAGATTTGGCATGGTCTGCAAATGTAAATTTGTGTGATTTTTTTGGTAATAATAATAAAAATGTCATTTTTATTACAAAATCTAAGAATTGAGAGCACAGAATCTCACTTTGATGCAGAAAACAACCTTTAAACTCAGTAGCAGAGCCCTCTCCAGTATGACTGGCACTCCTAGTAAAGATTTCTCCAAATCCATTAAAATAATGCAACTTGCTACGGAGACACAAGATGCAACTTTAGCAGCAGTTTTTGTACTGTGAGATCTGGACATTTTCATCTATTACTATTATCTCCCTTCCCGTCCCCCAGGATAAATGTGAGACGTTCTCCAGCCTCATTTGTCAAAATTGTAGGAGTTTTAATATTTCTAATTACTGCTCTAACTGCAGATCTGGGCAAATTTAGCCACGTAGGTGATAATCTTTTTTTCTTTAACCTGCATTATTAAGATAAACTCAAATCTGCCTAGTTTTATTTGAATGTTTTCCTCTCTTTTCCATTGTGCAGAGTGGTTAAACGAGCCTCCGTGTTACATAGTATTTATTCCCTGTAACAGAGTTGTGGGTTACTGAATAAATACTCCCAGACAATATTATGAATTTAAAATAAAAAATAAAAATGGAAAAAATTGCAGTTACTTTTTGTCGAGTATTTTGGTGTTTGCGACATCACATGTCCAGCAGCAGCCGTGGATCTTCCACCACCGCTTTGATCTTGCGCAAGAAAGTGACCGCTTCTCTGCCGTCGATGAGCCGATGGTCGTACGTCAGCGCCACGTACATCATGGGTCGGACCTCAGCCTGCCAGAGCAGATCACGTTTTTACTGACTTCAAGCAGTCACTTCACAAGTCAGTCGCGATCGACAAAACGCAACTTTTTCTTCCCCACGAAAATATCAAAGTGCAGACACATGTGCATCCACTTGAAGGCGGGTCTGAGTATTCATGCAGTTACTTATTTCATATTACATACTTTTATTTAATTGTCATTATTTTCTAGGAATCATTTTTCACTTTGACATCAAAGGCGTTTTCTTTTTTTGCAAAATGTTTTGGTTTAAAAGTGTTTAAAGTTACAAAAAGCTACAAAAAAAGATAAAACATCCAAGGGAAGAATATTTTTTTATAAACACTGAGAAACCTGAAGTCCAGCAGATATTATTTGTGATGTATTACGGCTTTTTCCCCTGAACGTTGACTCCTTTCTTCACAGCAGACCTCACCTGTCCATTGACGGCCACAGGTCTGTCGAAGACGCCATGCATGCCGAGAATGGCCGACTGCGGGGGGTTGATGATGGGCGTGCCGAACAAGGAGCCAAACACGCCGCCGTTGCTGATGGTGAATGTTCCTCCGTCCATATCTTCAACCGCAAGCTCGTTTTTACGAGCCTGAGGAGCAAAAGGACAAAAGCTTCTCAGAACTCTGGAGTAGGAAAAACGCAAAGCGATTTTCCTACAAATATGTTGGTCTACAACTGTAAACCAACATATTTGGTTTACAGTTTACGACGTCTACCTTTTCTCCCAGAGCATTTATGGTTTTCTCAATCTCAGCATAGTTCATGGATTCCACATTTCGTAACACTGGTACCACAAGTCCCTGCGAGGTAAAAAGCATGACGCAGTAAAAACTACGACAGACTTAGATGACGTGAAAGTTATCCAGAATTTAGCAGCGACAGGAATCACAATAAACTTTTTAATACTAGAAGCCAAACCTTTGGAGAAGCCACAGCGATGCTGATGTCCACATAATCTCTGTAGATAATCTCTTTGGTTGCTTCATCAATAACTGCAGGCAAACAACATATTTGGCATACAAATTAATGACATAACAAGTTTGACCAGAACACTGATGCTTGTGTTACAGCACACCGGAAAAGATTCAAATCCCTTGAACTACTCCGCATTTTGTTATGTTACAACCACAAACTTCAGCGTATCTTATGGGAACTGCATGTGAGAGACCAACACAAAGTAGTGCACAATTGTGAAGTGCATTTTTTTTAGTGTGATGCATATTTGCATTTAGTGCTACTTATTCAAATGGTGTTCAAAAGCAAAATCCAGTGCAAGCAACTAAATTTAGAGATCGCTAAACAAATTACGCCTGCAGTGAAACACGGTGGTGGAAACATCATGCTACGACAATGCTTAAATAGCAATTAAGTTTGAGCTTGTAATACGAAAAAACATGGAAAGGTTTTAAGGGAATGAAAACCTCTTTAAGACAATGTTTGGGTCTCTTCAGATCCAGTTGCTTGCATGGACTTACCAGCGTTGACGGCGGGTTGATCCGTCAGAGCATGAGAAGACGCCTTCTCAAAAGCAGACATAAAACCCAGTTTGACGTTGTGCTTCGTTAGAAACGCCTCTTTGTAGAGTTTCCTCATTTCCTTGATGTTACTGGAAGAAACGGTGGGGTGTCACCGAGGCTGGAAACTGGACTTGTCTCAAACAGTTTCTTTGACTCACGTCACGTCTATTTCGGTGAAGGTGGTCAGCATGGCGCAGGTGTTCTGAGCTTCCTTCAGTCTCTCAGCAATCCTCAGCCTCATTCGGCTCATCCTCACCTGGAGACACGAAGCGAGCAGTGAGCGGCAGTCCTCTAAATATGATAAGCTTGGCTTTCATAGAAAAAAGTACTCTGATGTCGCCTCGGCGTGTGTGTTACCCTGTTTTGTCCTCTGACTCCTGCTGCTGGAGGAGCAGGTGGTGCAGGACTGGGTTTGGCAACAGAAACTGCGTGAAAAAAGGGGAAAATGGCAGAAAACAACAAATTAATGACTATAAAAAAAGAGAAACATGTCCATGTAATTAATAACTGATGGAATGAATAGTGCGGTACTCACCAGCTGGAGCAGGAATGGACGGCTGAGGTGGAGGTGGTGGAGGAGGAAGGACGTCCTCTGCAGCTGCAGAGGGAGCAGCTTTGGCAGCTGGAGCAGCTAAGAAGTGAGATGCAAATTTGATGAATTTTGTTTTTTGTATATGAATACAGTAGATATACATATACATATGTTCCCCTTAGAAATCTTATTAAAGATGTTAAAATGACAAAAAAAAGAGCTTAACTTATATTTATTTTTATAGGAATCTTGGCACAAGAGATTTTAAATAAACAAATATTAATGTTGGATTTTTTTTCACAATGAATTAAGGCACTCAAAATAAAATATGAATTTATTCAAAACCTTTCACACATGGTTTTGTAAAAGACGTAGTAAGAAGGGATTATTTGAACATTTCAAACCGGTTAGCATATTTGAAAGCAAAACAAGTAATTCAAATGTTAAAAATATAATAGAAAAAGTGATAACCATTTATTTTTAATGTCCATTAAGAATATGTTTGATTTACTAAACCATGTTCTGTAGAGCTACATTATTTAGCACAAGCTATAGCTGTATGATTGAGTTTTTGTAGAGACTAATATAGACACCATTGCAATAATTTAACCTACTAAAAATAACCACAAACAATAACTTAACAGTTGTAGTCCAACTGTTCATGGTTCATTGTTTGGGCCTGTTGGTTCCACTATTCTAGGACGAGATTTTGTTAGCTCGGCTAAAGTTGAAGCCTGTTTAGTATTTTTATTCATTTATTTATTTATCAAATTCCGGAGAATCCGTGAAACGCTAAGAAGAACCACTCCCGAAATGTCTTCGGAGGAAGACAGGGCCAAGGAGATACTATAAGAATATGTTTCATATTCTTATAGTAAGAATATAAAACATTTTTCATCCTTGGGACCCAAAACAATAATGACTGTTTCATCTGAAACGAGATTACTGGAAAAAAAAAAAGTCTGATTCAACCAGTTATACTATCTAGAGACTCTTTCTGTGACTTTAAGAGACTGTTTTCATGTGCCAACATAAAAATATAAACCTGCATGTCATGAGCATAAAGTAAGACATGCTGCAGTACTGCATCATCTGAGCATATAGACGTTGATCAAAACTGAGCATGAAGCCTTGAGGAACCCCATCTGGGATATTTCAGATTCCTAATTACCAACTGACACAAAATGGCAACAACATGTCAAGAACCAGAAAGGAGAAAATCAGTCAATCCCAACCACTTTACCAGTTAGTATGTTATATTTAAAAAAATCTTAGTTGCTTGGTTCATGATGTAAAACCTACAAACATCATTAAACTAATCAAACCTCCTTTCCGCAGTTTGAACAGGGGACTTCCTGTTTCCACCCTCCCTCCATCAGGGATCAGCAGCTCCTCGATCACACCAGCTGCAGGAGCTGGGACTTGAACCGACGTCTGGAAGAGCAGAGCAAGGATGTTTTAACTGCATTAACAATAATGTCAGTGTAGGTTTGAGTTTCAATTTTTCATTTCAAACCTTGTCAGTCTCGACTTCACACACCACTTCGTCTTCTGTTACCGAATCACCCACCGCTTTAAAAAACACCCAAAAGAAAGTGAGCGGCAATTTATATGCAGAGCAAAATCGAATATTTTATTTAAGCTGGTCAATACTAACCTATTTCCCACCTTACATCGCCCTCTGTGATTGACTCCGCAAATGGAGGAGTGTTGACTGTGACCAATTCATCGTCTGTACAAGAAAGCCCAAGAAAGCATAAATTCAGAGACATCATGAGTGACAAAAAATAGGAAGTAGGAGTCAGTTTTAAAAATGACACCAAGACTGATACGTACTGCAAACGGCAGATGCCCTAAAATATCTGCAGAGGAATGCATTTGATGGGGCCAGATATCTGCGCCTGAATGTGAAAAAGAAGATTGTGGTTCAAATTCAGTAAAAACAATTTAAAACCAAACGTAAAACATTTTAACAATGGAACTATTGGAACTATTAACTGACTCGCTAACAAAGTCTCTTAATGCACCACAAGTGACTAAAATAGCTATTTTGTTTTCATAGGTAAGAAAAATGCTGAAAATCAAAAAAAAAAAAAAAAAGGAAATGGTCAGAGAACTTACAGCTGAGATTTCCTGTAAACAAACTGGGTGCAGATTGAGTGACCTTAAAGTAATTAAAGGAAAGACAAAATCAATAAAACACAAAATCTTGCTACCATGAAAAGAAGCCGCATTACCTACTTTACTCACAGTTTAGTTAGAAATAATCTTACCCAGTAATCTTTGTTCAATATCCAAATTATAAACCTTAAAAAGGAGAACAAGCGTATTAGATTTATTTTGTTTCAATGAAACGCTCCATAGTTATTAGCTTTCTCCAAAATTATTTCTAGGTTTTTATTTTGTTGCGCATATGTGTGCCGATTGTCATGTGAACAGATTGTTGTTGTCTATCTTTTTATCTTTCATGCCAATTTGGAATTGGTCCGTTTAATGTTGATTTAACCTGCAGACTATTTTAGGTTGCTCGCTTTTCTTAATTGTTCCCAAACTGATAAACAAACCACTAGCACAGCTTGAAAAACATATTTTTAATAAAAATGATGAAGAATCATTTACTTCTCTTCTCACACACTTGTAGAGCTAACAACCAGTTAAACCATTTCATTTTCCAGTGGGCTGCTGTAAGCTCCACCACTGCTGAACGCCTTACAATGGACATGACTCATACATGTGGGATGCCTGAGGAGGGTGGAGTCAGTCAAAGTGGAACCAAACACACTTTTTCCAGTTCCTGCACAGACATGCAGCTATCAAGTTTCACCGGTTTTTAGTCAATTTGGCAAAAAGCTGAGATGTTATTGAGTTACCTTTATGTTTTAATTTTGCCAGCAACATGTTTTATAGTACCATGGCTTGTTATGCTCCCTAAACGCAATCCTGTGGCTACAGCAACAGAAAGTGAATCTGAACCTTGATATCCAAACTTTTTTTTATGTGTTCACTGTTAAGACTCAAATGTCTCTGCGATGATGTTTTGCTGCTCTGCGACTGCAGTGTTTTCTGTCACAATGAACAACCTTTTGGTATAACTTAACACATGTTCACTCTCCTTTACATTCTGTGTTTCTTTGTCAAGTGGTTGGTTTAATTGGTGACTGTGGGATGTTTTTATGATGTAAAATGTGCGATACATATAAACCTGATTTGACCGGTTGGATTTCTGACTCAGAGGCAGTTTGAACCATGTAGCTGCTGATTTGAGGTGCAGTTTAAGAATGTGAAGGTTGTCCTCTTTCCTTATTAGCCCATCTACTTTATGCAAAGCACATGCAGCAAAACAGAGCCACCATGCTTGACACCAGGATTTGAACTCTGCACCTTTGCTCATTAAACATGCTTCTGTTTCATTTATTTATCTGCTTCACTTTTCAAGCGAGCTCAGTTGTCCTGAAAACGCTTTTCTGTTGTAACCTGGGGTGCACCGATCGATCTGCCTCGATTTCCAATATTTCGTTATTCAGCCGATGCCTACATGTGAAACTGACCTCATCCACAGTATTTAAAAAGTTACAAAGCTGATGTGCAGTTGAGCGTTTTCTTTTTCCACTACAAGAAACCTCAAATTCAGGACACTACATAGTAAAAGCAGAAGTACTGCTTTGCATTTTATTTTTGGTAAGTGGCTGAAATCAAATCTGCACCCTGGAGATTGAATGACAGTAATTTTATTATTATTTTTTTAATCTATATTTACCCTTATTTTATGTTTATAAAATTTTAACTCTAATACATTTTTTTCATCATTGTATTATTCTATTTACTTGTCTGAGCGTTTTGATACTTTTTTAAAAACTTTATGTTGTTTATATTTTTTATTGCCACATTTTTTGTATTTTTGGATCATCTTACTGTAGACATCACATGCATAAATTTCCTCAAATTTTTGGTGGTGATATTTTGCATGCTCTTTTGTTTGTTTGGTTTTAATACGTGTAAGGTATTTAGTGCCAATTCTGACTCTTTTTGTAAAGTCTACTCAGTTTTCGAGCTTCTCGACAGACCTGATCGTCAGCCTACGTTTGCCCGGTTCAGCTCGTTTTTGTTGCTTCCTGTCTGCTTACCTGGCTCGCCGCCGACAGGGAGCGACTCAGCGTGCGGCAAACAGCAGGGGACCGTGAGAGCATCTCGGCGGCAGGAGACCACCTTTGTGGAGGAGCAAACAGGGAGAAGGAAGCGAGCTGCGACCTCCCCTCCCATCCCGCCCCCGCGGCACAGCGGCGCTCCCTCTGGGAGGAACCGCCGCAGCTCGTGGCACGGAGCGGGCGGCGCGGGAGGAGATATCAATCACACCTCTGATGGAGCCATCTTTTTATACAAGGTTCCTGCTCCTGTGTTCTCATCCCAGTTATGATTTTAACATAACAGTGGCTGTGGCGCATTTTAGGTTTGGTTTATGAATCAGCAAATCTGTTGGTAGAAGGAAAATATATATTGGATAATAGAAATAACACTGGGAGCACAATTATATTATATCTAGTCATACAGATCTGTTTGCAGAACAGAACAATTTGATTCATTAACCTTCACCAATCACTATTTAACTCCAATCATCTTTGCATCAACAGTAAACAGCTTCTTTCTCCCTTAAAGAATAAAGCCTCCCCACAGAATGATACTGCCATCCTTATGTTTCACCATTGTGACTGTGCATTGAGAGTTATGCACAAAGTTACTTTTCCAATATATGTAGATCATAAAATTAGAATCTGGTCTCATCTGCCTGGAGAGGTCTTTTTGTCACTCGTCCATGAAAGCCACATTTCCTCTGGGGTTTCACGGGCATCTTTCTCGCTTTCTTTGATGATTGCAAACTCCAGTGTTTACAGAAAAACGTTTTCAAAGCTGATTTAATGTTATACACAGATGGACGTTATTATTATTATTATTTATTTATTTATTTTTTTACTAATCTTGTGACTTCTGAAGGGTTTTTAAAAATGGATTTCATTTATGAGAACCAGAGCAAAAGGGGCTGAATACAAATGTACCATACACCATAACAAAATAAGATAACCGTGCATCATTTTCTCTGATAATGAAATGATGATTGTCTTTTACAGACAACAACAAAAAAGAAAGTATACATTGCCATTTGTGGTTTTAATATTACATCATCAAAATGCAAATAAAGTATAAAAATGTAATTGAGTCTGAGGATAGTTTTTTTTTTAAGGTGGGTCTGTGTGTGTCAGGCGAGGGTGTGTATTAGACCACACCTCCAGCTCTTTGAGCAGATTCACTCCAGATAAATAATTGCCCCATCCTCCTGTGAGCTTCAAAACCCTCTGTGATCTCTCAGTGCGTCTCTCAGGTACGCAATCAGTTCTTTATTACAATTCTGGCTCCGTGAGTATGACGAATAAAAATGCTTATATTCATAATGAAGCATCACATTGTTGATCATCATGTTTGTCACTCTTTTCAGGCTGTGAAGCATGAGTTTCTGGAGCAAAGGTATGTGTTCTTCCAGCGACGTCTGCCTGGCCGGCTGCACTGCAGAGCATCTGCCCCCCAGGCACCCTGACCCACCGCCATCAAATTTAGGTGGTTTTTACACCTCACACAAAGACAGCAAGAACATTAGGGGACTGATACACAGGACTGAAAACACTGCTTCGGGTTTGTCGTGTTCCATCCCAGTGGAGTATAATCTGTCCACAGGGAGCACAAGAACACCTTTGTCTCCTGCTTCTTACAGTCATTACAACTGGAGCCTCAACAGCGGCCATCAAGCCAAGCGTGCCAGAGTTGAGAACATCATCAAAGGTATAACCTGCACAGATGTGATGCCAAATCAGCACGAGGAGACCGGCCGCGTGCGGGAAGAAGACGAAAGGGTTGGAGTGTCGGCTTCACATCAGAAACGCATGGAAACGAGTGGAACTGAAAGCCTGAGCGAAAGCCATCAGCACCTCAGAGAGGTCAGGACGAAGGTCAATCCCATGTGCAAAGATGAGAAATTTCCCAGATGGAGCGTTTCACCTGAAGCATCTACAGATGAGGTGCTTTATAAATCCTGCAGTGAAACCGAAAGCGGTCCAGGTAAAACTCATCAAGAATGGAAAAAGGTGATGCCAGGCCACTTCAGCTCCAAACCGGATCGGGTGAAGCTGATGGCAGATATTTTAAAATACGAGCTGACCCGAGCTGTGAGCAGAAGTGTGGACTCCATTTTCAAAAGCATGCCACTTACACAGACCCCAACCGAGATGGAGAATTCAGAAACAACTCTCCCTCCTCAGTTCTCAGAAAGCATGGAGAATAAATTAAGATGTGGGACAGCAGAGGTTCTGCTCCCAGATGTCCAAACAGAAGCTCTGTCTCTGGTGGTCCAAAAGCCAGAACTGGAACGGCCGCAAGACTTCATCCCCCAGTCGACATCAGCGGCTCCTCTTACCCCCAAATCTCCCATCTTCTTCAGCTGTGAGCCTGAACAAGCATCAGAGCAAAACAACATCGCACACCATCAACGGCACAATTTTAAATGCTCACCAGATGGATGCTCTGAACGTGGCGAGCCAAGATTGGACACATATTGGAATTTGGTCAAAGTGAAATCAAAGGTCACCTCCAGATCTGCGAGAAGCCCTCACACACACACCGTGCCGGTGGATCACGTGATTCTTGACAACCTGCAGCTCCCACATGTGAAGTTAGAACCAGATTGCTTCGAGAAAAATAACGTCTACATGTTGAACGTATCCTTCAGGCGCTCACGAGTCAATTAGATCTCTTATGGTTACCTTATATTTTCTAAATGATCTTTATTTTAGTCTAAAGAAAACCAAACATGACAACTTAAGAGAATTTAGATTTAGATTTGTGGATTTCTTTCTTAACAATGGTGTATTTCAGGAGTGTCTGACAACAAACCACCTGAAGAAAGCAAAGCTCATGTTCTTCTACACTCGCTATCCGAGCTCAGTGGTGCTGAGGATGTGCTTCCACGACGTGCAGGTGAGTAAAACCTCATGATCTCCAAAAAAGAAAGTTGTAGAAAACTTGTAAACCCTAAAAAAACTTGACATTTTGCTTCAAGTGTCATGTTTTGACATATTTCTCAAATCTATTCACATTATAAACTTTGAGATTTATATCCTGAGCAACATAAAACAAAAACAGCCGACAACACGGTGAAATAGTTGCATCATTTTATTGATTTCATTTTAATTTTTTTTTACATCTAAAATGTTCACAATCCAGTTACACATGGTCATGTTTGGTTCTTTTCACTTACCTGGCGCGTGTGTCGTCCACAGTTCACACGCTGCATCACCTCCCAGCTCATCAAATGGTTCAGCAACTTCCGGGAGTTTTACTACATCCAGATGGAGAAGTTTGCCCGCGGCGCTCTCCTGGAGGGGGCGGCCGATGTGAGGAATCTGACTGTAAGCAGAGAATCAGAACTTTTCAGAGCTCTAAACATGCACTACAACAAAGCCAACGACTTTCAGGTGAGGATGATCCTATGACCCTCAGAGCCAAGAAAAATTATAGTAAAGATTTTTTTTAAAAAAATCTAAGGAGCAGAGATTCATTTTTTTAAACATTTCCCCCATCATTTGTTAGAATTTAAATACAGTTTTACTTAATAATCAGCTGGATTATTTTATGTATAGAGGCACACATTTTTCACATTGAGTTTATAAATTCTATATTGGTTTGTATTTTTCTCTGTTCAGATTAATCACAGTCCTAACTATACAGACTTAAAAACTACAATAACAACTGCAACAGTTAGTAATTGTATAATAATAAATTAGTGTATTTTACATTTTTGCAACATAGTGGAGCTAAAAAAAAAAAAAAAAATCAAGTTACATCATGGTGCCGTCAGACATTTCATATCATCAAAAGGAGAGCAATCTGATCATTGTGCCAGTCGCCTTTACTACTGCCACTAAAGTTTGTCCAAATTGGTGGTTTGCTCAGTTCATATGAGCACTCACTGTATCGGCTAATATGGGTTATATGAACCGGAAGATACCCGAGCCTGGTGGTTGTTGCTCAGAGGTTTTACAACCTTTAAAAGCCATTGAGATTGCATACTGAAGAAGGGAGAGGACTGAATATGCAGTTTCTTAATCCCAGTTCATGACTGGAGAGAAATTGTCTGATTGGAGTTGGTTGAAAACAGGCAAGTGTTCACTTTGTTTGTCTTGGGGCTTCTCAAACCTGCAGCTGAAAAACAATTTCAAGCTGCTCTCAATTGATTATTCCAGGTCAAAATTATTTCAATGAATCTTAACTATCGTTTCAAGGTAAGTTGTTTTTAGATGCAAGAATAGTTTGTTTTTCTTTAGTCAAAGATGTGTCTAATTTAGAGTTTTTGTGGTGAAAACAAACATAAATTTCGTGTATCCCATGATTCAGGTCTGACCGTTGAAACCGGAAATGTAAATAATTTAACTACTTTCTGCAATGTCAGTGTTTCTTGTTTCATGTAATTGGCCTCTAGGTATTTCAGTTGGCCAGAAGTCTGTCTTGTATGGAAATATTCAGATAGCTGAAACAGCTATGAAGGCAGTTCGCATGTTTACCGTTATCTCCAGAACTTGCTCATGCAGTGGGAGAAAAAAGCTAAAATCCAATTTGGAAAAAGACTGTCCTTTTTGGTGCATGGGTTTGATGAGAATACCTTTCGGTTTTCTTTACATCACTAATACACAACAGCTTTGAAAATGCTTCTGAAGCTTCAGAGATAAGGCGAAGGATTAAATAATTGTAGAATAATGTGCATCCAACTACGATGAATTTACATAGAAAACACATTTTTTAAAAACAAAAAAATAAACAATTCAGGATATTTCTGGTAAAGACCTAGGAACAATTTGTAAACGCACTATAGAAATGTAGAGCAGCGAGCACAGTGAGTATATTAAAAATACCGCTTTTAAAATTTTTTAAAGATGGCTTTAGTACAGTTATGTAGAAATATTTAAGCGGTGGTGTCCAAACATTTTGCAGTGAGTCAAAGTCCTCAACTGCTCAAAGTCCCAAAAAATCAAGATGCTTCACTAAATAAAGGTGATTTACAAATATGTGAACTGTGGATCCTAGATTCATCAGCATATTTAAAAAAATGCATGCAATCTAAATGTTGGTTCGGTCTCTTCACTATTTTTGTATTTTATTCTTCATTGGTTATTTAGCCAGTTAACATTTCTCATCTTAATATTTCAATATGCCACTGCAAATGTAGGTCTAGTGAATAGAAGCAAGTTTACTGAAAAACTGTCTTGAATTGTGGTCAGGGACTGCACAAAATCAGCTTGTGGGGCAAAAACAAAAAAGCCCTCGGGCTGCACTTTGGGCACGACTGCATTACAGCATGGATCTCATACATCGGCAGACACTGTACAGATTTAACAAAATTAAAATTTAGGTTGCGTCTCATTATAAAAAGCAATTGGTTAAGTGCAAACCTGACAGGTACAAAGGAAACTAACGATTCAAACAGCATTATTACTAAATACATCAGTGTAACAGAGATCCTGTACTGTTATGCCGTTCATCCACAACTTTGATGCACAAATAACTTTTGCGTTTAGAGGAAGAAAACTCGAGAAAATATTTGACATACAATTAAAACATGTAATGCTTTCAGTTATAAAACCAGGGATAAACTCTTCCACAGCTCAACAATGTTCAGCTGTGGGAATTTGATGAGGTTTCATGTTTACATGACCAGTTAGGATGTCAAATTATAAACTGTAGCACAGAATCATATTTCATTAAGTCGTCATTTTTTGGAATTCACTTTGAAAGTCAAAGTACCAAATAATCCAAAACAACAAATGCGATCAATTATTTTGGACACGGGACCAGCCAAGCAGGTACATTGTGCTCATTGTGGAATACCACACTTTGTATCAAATTAGAAATTGATTAGTGGTTTATTAGAAATGCATTATAAACATGTCGTCCGTAAAACAAATGAAAATTGAAACATTTTTATTTTAACTAGTTACATTTAGTCAAAAATGTTTCAGTATTTTTCAACCAAGTTTAAAAAAATAAAAAATTCAAAGGTAGATTTAGGTTGCCTTCCTCTGGTTGAGTTTATGATAAAACTATCTATTCTTATAATGGAGGATAGAAAATAACTAATGCTTTTTGTAGACCTGAAGTATACAAATTTTAAACAAGCAGCAAATTGCATGCAAGAGGTAAAGAAATAATGAAAATCATTTAAATGGGCTGCTGTGTTCAGTAGATACTGGGTTTTAACTCCAGCTGGTTTGTTTTATATCTGTTCACTAAGTCTTTACTTACCTTGTACTTACTAGACCAGAATATGCCCAAGAGCAGCATGTTTATTTGCGCAAGTTTTTTTGAGAGCCAACAACTGAGAAAATTGCTTGACTCCAATGTTTTGCATTGTTAGGTTCCTGACCGATTCCTTGAAGTGGCTGAGATTACACTGAGAGAGTTTTACATCGCAATTTCAATGTGCAAGGATCGTGACCCATCCTGGAAGAAGACAATCTACAAGGTGATCTGCAAGCTGGACAGCGACGTTCCACCTGAATTTAAATGTCATCACTTTGGATGAACACCAGCCAAAAAGGCATCCTGTGCCACAGCCGTGGACTTACTGAGTAATTTTGTTTTGAAAGGGAAAAGAAAGGCAAATATATGGATGGTTAGAAATATGAATGTCAGAACGAGGAAGATGATCGTTGATTATGTCACTTCAACTTTTTACCACTCCACAAAAGCTAACATTAACATGAACTCAGTCTGGGATCTTAGATTGCATTAAAAATAAAAGCAAAAAATAAAAAATAAAATAAAAATTCAGATTTACGAAGGACTTTTTCCAAAATGCACACAAAACAAGGTCCACACCAGAGAGAAAAAATATTTAATATTTAACATATAAAGTACATTTTATTTACATAAATACAATTTCAAAACTTACTTGAGCTGTAAATTTTTCCACATAATCTAGCACAATTACTTCCCATACTTACCATAAGTTCATCATGTTTGATTTGTTCTGTCGGTACTCAGGCAAAATGTCTCCAGCAGGAGAAATGCTCTTTGCTCTTCTAGCTTCAGGGAATCCAGACAGACGAATCCAGATTAAAATCCAGAGGGGGAAAATTCAAACCCTGGGTTTCCTTCAGTCTTCAAAGAGTTTAAACATGGAAAAGAAAAATGTTGATAACACCAGTGTCTTTTTTTTTTCTATTACATGTCATTAACTTACGTACAATAAATGCAGCTATCCATTCTGAAAGAAAGTGGGGCCTCCTTCTTACATCCTTTCTAAGAAGCACTACATGACCTGCCCTCTCATGTTTTCTGGAAACCAACCCAGTAGATGTTACAAATGGTAAAGTCATATCTCAAATTCCAAGTATTACCAAAAAAGGTTTCTACTTTCAAGATTTCAGCAAGAGAAATGTTATGACCTCTTTAAGTCTGCGTACTTGACAAGTCATCAAGCATAGTCAGCGTTAGTCAAAAGGTCAATAACACAGAAGTTTGATTGTTCACAAAGCCGTATCTAGGGACATTAATGGAAAGTTGAGCTGAATGAAAGTGTGGTAGGAAAAAAAAGCACAGAAGCAACAGGGGTAACTTTGGTTTTTAGAGAACTGTGAAGCAAAGAATCTTTCAAGAGTTTGAGGGAGATTCACAAGATGTAGAGAAAGCCCAGAGTTGGTTCTTCAAGAGTCACCAAATATATAAATTCAAAAAAATGATCTACGATTATTCCAGTGTTTGTGCTAAACCTCTCCTGAAACAGACAACATCAGAAGAATCTTACCTGGGCTAAGAAGAAAAAGTGCAGGACTGTTGACAAGTGGACTCAATTAAAATGTGCTAATTTGAAAATCAAGGTCCCAGAGTCTGGAGGAGAAGTGAAGAGGAATATAATTGAAGTTGCTTCAGATCCAATGTTACGTTTCCAGTCTGTGATGACTTTGGGTGTCATGTCATCTGCTGGTGTCGGTCCAAAATCACCTAACAGGAAAGCCCGCTTGTTTCAAAAAGCCTTGTGAAGATGGTGATTTCATCTCCCAAAAGGAATTTACATCTGTTCACACTAAACTGAATTTTAGTTTTCCTTATTTATATGCTAAGAATATGGAAATTGGCAAACTATGCTAAATCAACACTGCCTGGCCAAAAAAAGTCTGATCTTTTGTTTATATGAAACATTTGCTGTGGCATTGTGTTGATAAGCTGCTGCCGTATCACTCTTTGTTTCCATTCATTTTTGTATTATCTTTTCACCAAAATCTTGTTTTGATGATGGGAGAGTACGACCACCTCTCAAAGCCAACATGTCCCCGGGATTCTCAATGGGATTAAGATAAATTTGGGCCCATCAGACTACATGAACTTCTTCCATTGGTCCAGAGTAATTTTATTTTGCTCCATGCAAATTTAAGCCTTTTTTCTCCAATTAGCTTCAATGTTTAATGGTTTTCTTATGGCTACACAGCTGTTGAGTCTCAGTCGAATGGATTCCCTTTGCATTGCGCGCATAGAAATGTTTTTACTTGCATTTAACAGTTTTTAACCCATTTTTTAGTAGTTTCTCCAACGTCACTAGACATTTTCTCTGCTTGGTGCCTGTGATTTCCCCTTTCTTAAACCAACATCTTTTCCACAACCACGGGATGAGTCTTTCGACATGGTTGTTTAAGAAATGAGAAGCTACTGATTGCATCGTTAGGGGTTAAATATCATGTTACCATAACAGGTAAGCGACCAGGCACTAATTATCCAATAGGAGACTCAAATGTAATTAGTTTGGCAACTTTTTTTTGGCCAGGCAGTGTAAAATTTTCTTGAATAAAAATATAAATTTGATTAATGAATGGAACTATTCCATTCTTATTGAATTAGTTTTTCAATATGGAGATAATGTATTGAAACATTCTGTTTGCAGTATTGTTTGGATATCTATCTGCTATTAGGGTGTTAGCATTCATGACCTATTAAGACTATAACAATACAGAAAAAAAGGAAAGCACCAATCTGTGTAGATCACGGTTCACCACATCATGATCACAAACGTGCAAAAATACAATGTTAGGGTTCAAACTCCACCTCTGAAATGTTAATGACATTTATATTTCTTGTGACTCTTTTGTTGGGAAAAAAGAAAAGGTAAACCAGTTCAGTTGAAACAACTACCTTAGGACATAATGAATAGTAGCATTTCAAGAAGGTGGTATAGAATGCTAAAAGTCATCTACTGAAAGACGGAGCCTTAGGAAAAATTGTGAAAACTATTGTTCAGCAATGGCACTAAATGTACAAAGAATTTTCAGAGGCTGAAGGCAAATGTGTGTTCAAAAGTATATAACAACATAGTGAACATTTGTCCATCTTTCTGTTGTCAGTAAAAATCTAGGTTTAACTGGAATAAAATTCTTGGTGACTACAATTATCACAGCGATAAAATTTTTTCTATAAAAATTTAAGATATGTAAAAAGTTACATTTGCATATAAATGCACAAAAAGCATGAATCATGCACTTTTTTAAACATTTTTAACAGAATGTTAAAATTAGAAAACAAAACAGAAATGAAACATAATGCAATAATCTGAGTTACGATTGCTCGAGTTTTTAAAAAAGGTCAATTTTAAACACCACCAGATAATTCCAAAAAGTAATTTACCCCCTCATGCATTTCTTGTTCTTCCCTTCTTGACACCTCGATTTTGAAGCTTTGATATTGGATTAACATAACCCAACAATATTTTCCCTACAATAAATGAAATTTTAATAATCTTTTTCAATTACAATTTCATTTATTATGGGAAAAAAATATTTCTAAATGACCTGGGCCTTTGTGCGACAGTTATTGGCCCCTTGTTCAATCATCAACAATCCATTATTAGAGTAAATTTCCTTTGACCCAAACACACACCCAACAATTAAGAATACTCAGATTACTTAAATTGCAAGTATTTTAAAGTGGGTAAAAAGGTCTGATACGGCAATGTAACATGTCGTAATTTAAATAAAAATTCAACAACACATAGCCAAACGACATTGGCATACATTAGTCAGGAACAGACTGCAGAGCCTTTTCTGACTGTAGGAGTTCAGTTGATCACCAACAAATACAGAAAACATGAAATAGTGGCGAGAATGTTTTTCATACGTTTACGACCGTAAGCTCAAGCACACTGACAGTGCAGCAGAATAATTATCCAAAGAACACCAGTTTAAATACCTTAAAAAACAAAACTATATTTTGGAGTGGTTTAGTCAAAGTCCGACTTATAGCTGATTCGAAATGGTGTAAGTTCAGGTCAATTCATACTCAAAAACACTATTTAGTCAAGTAATTGTCAAAATTTTGGGTGATCTGAAACGTTCCAAGTCCAACACAAAAAGCAAAACCAGAAGTAATACGTAATAGGGAAGGTTACTTTTTCACAGCACTGGACGAGAACTAAGAAGTTAGCGATTTATTGATAGAAACTGGCTCCTTTTTACTTTGATATTTTCATCACTACCTTGGAACACACACTGCCAATGAACTCTACAGGTGGCAGTTACAGGAGGTGGGACTTACACATCTTTATTGATACTTTACTTCCATGTTGGATCAGTTTATATAAAAATATATACAAGTCCAATTTACAAAAAATATTCATTTGCGTAACAGGGAACCTAGACGAACAAGAGATGAGAACAGCTGATAGTCGTCTTAGTCTGGAGGTTGTGACTTCAAAACCAAAACATGAATGTACAGAGACAAGACTATCATTGTAGATTAGCAATAAACTGAACAAAAAGTCTTGCCAAACATAAAACAACACAGTTAATTCTCCAAGCATCATTATGAAACCCCACTGACAAATTTTATAAGTTTATAATGTTGTGAACCTTTTATTTTTTCTCTACAACACATTGACTAAGAAATAGTGTTACAGGTATACAGTACATGAAGTATAAAACAGAGAAAAAAGTAAAAGATGCCTGAATACTTAAGCAAACTAAACGCAGATTAAATACAGCTCATACCAGATGGAAAAATGTAATCTTTATAATTATTAGCGAAGTGACCAAAACTACTGATAACTGTTGGGAGGATGAATGTTTCACTGCCAAGGAGCTGGAGCATCTTCACATTCTGGGCATCTGGGGAAAGCAAATAATGTTATTTAATGATAAACTTGTTTACAATAAACAGTAAAAGTTAAAATCTTAAGCAACAACAAGATCCGTCATACCAATAAGTTTAAAGATGGTTAATTCGATGCACAAAACTTTCACAGCTAGCATCTAACAATATTATTGCTCCACATCAACCAAACTATTATCAGTTGAAAGGAAAGTCAATTTGTATTCGTAAACTTTCATCAAAGTAGAACAAGGTAAAATATTTCATGCTTGTGTGTTAACAGCCTTAAAAGATGTGGAAAATTTTTTAAAAGTAGTGACATAAATATGGTACATAAGTGTTTCTACTTAGCCGTGATGTATCAAAAGCTTAGGGTTTTATTGAAAACTGTGACTAGTTTGTATTTGAATACACCATTAAGGGCCACGGATATTACACTTTTTTAGTAAAACTAAGCTGATTGTGCTGTTTCATCCAAAGCAAGTTTTCAAGACAACTCAACTGTCTTTAAACTGAGGATTTACTGCAACCCAAAGCATAAAATACACTAACTATACCATAAGTACAAACAAAGCCCATAAAAAAACATTCTCATGATAAACAATATTAGTCTCTAGTTTTTGGGGGGCTTTTTAGGAGTTATAAATCACCATCTAACATCCTTTAAATAAAACCTGAAATGCCTAATGCAGTAATTAAAATAAGAAAAAATAAACCACACGTACCTTACTGTAAACCAAAATAAGGAATCACACTATCCTAGAAATATTTTGTACGATTAAGAGCTCTTTGTGCGAACTGGCCGCTCTCATCTGTTATTTTTTCCCAGTCCGTTTGTCCAACTATAAAACCGATAGCACGCTTTCGATCTGCATCCTTCTGCTCTTCAAGATCAGCCCATCGGACCTTAAGAGAGAAGACAACCAACCAAACCCATTATGAGCATGAAATGGATTTTGATCAATTCAAATGACATTTTTCTGAAAGACAAATTCAGATGACAGCAAAAAATGTTACCCTTTTCTTTCCTGGTGCAGATGTGCGTGTGGCATAGTCATCTGGCAACTGAAGGTAGTCCTCTATGCCTGACAAGTGTTCACTGTCACGCTTCCTCTTCCCACCGCTCACCAGGCCATCCAACTTGTCTTTATCAAGAGGAAAATTATCGCTAAGGTCACTCTTGTCCATCCAGTAAAAAATGACCTAATTCTACATCTGCAATTATTTTGAGGTAAAGTGTTCAATCCAGAGCTTGGATCTACTCAGGGAATCATTGCAATTCTGTTTGTTTACTTGCAGAATTGCAAGTAAACCATTATTTTTCTGACCATTACAGAAAAGTAATGGTCAGGGATTTGAAATATAGTCATAATTGATTGTTGAACCACCTATTGCAATAATATGAGGCAGAACATACTTTCTGCATCAGTTTCTCACATAATTGTGGTCTTTTCTGCAGCATTGCTTGCATTAATTGAAGTTTATGTATTTGTTTACGCACAACTCTCTTCAGATTCCACCAAAGCTTTTACCACATTTATTACTTTCCATTTCAGCCATGCAATTGTACATCTGATTTCATATTTGAGTTTTCTGTCTGCATTTATCAGCTGGGTTGAGTCAAATTTGACTCTGGAATACTTTGGCATACAAAGGATTCTAGAGTACTAGAATCCTCAAATTCTAGTATTCAAATACTTCACTGGGTCCAAATAATCATCCATCTATCACCTTGCTTAAGATTTACTGCAGGGATCTAGAATGTTATCTGATTTTGCAATAGTGCACCTGAAGGCTGCACCTGTGGATCAGGTCATCAAGACAAAAAAGGGTCTCAACACACAGAAAGTCTTCCTGTCGTTCAAAAACAAACATTAGGCCAACATCATAGTCCAAACCAGTGGTTCTTATCCCTGACCTTCAAGCCCCCCTGTCCTGTTTGTTTGAGGTGTCTCATTACTGCTACACACCTGAATTAAATACCTCTGTGATTAACAGATCTCATCAGCTCTAGATGACTGCAGAGGAAATCATGCAATCATTTGTATCAGGTGTAATGGAACACATGTAGGATAGAGTCTGGAGGACCAGAATTGGAAACCACTGGGCTAAACCAATCAGAGATGGCGAATGGCAGGATCGCCTTCTGATTGGCCATGCCCTCATATTATTGTATGTCTCAATCGAAAGTTTAAGCCTGAGGCATGCAGAAATTGTTACCAATTCTCTGACAATGAGCCATCCATCTTCCAGGTTATCTGAATCATGGGTGGCAGATATTTAAACACCCTATCTGCCATCCATTTGCTCACTTTTGCTGCTGATTTGCTCATAAATTGCACTTTGACGCTACATTTGTGTCCCTAACCTGATTGTGCAATGAGACTGTAAGCGAACATACAATATGAAGAAACGTGTTTTTAAATCTCTCAGTCGCTCAATACATGTTCTGGCACACTGAAACAGATGAAGCTCTCTGTTTTTTTGCAGTTTGTCTCAATATTACACAGTCAGGCAATGCGTCAATTTTATATTTTCAATCCTGGCATGAACTTTAATGATCTTAAATACTTGTAAACTAAAATCTGTAGGATGATGAACATGTTTATAATGACCTAAAACACTGTTTTTCAGCAATTTCTTAAGGAGACAATACTGTTTTTTTTATGCTAAAAACAATAAACCCAATTGTACTGGCCCAGTCCAAGTAACAAAACACGCATACACATTACTTAGAAGATGGAAATGGAAATCTCTATACTACAGAGGACAATGCTTTCTTAATACAACAGAGATCTGAAATATTGAATACCTACCAAGTTTGGCCTCTGACGTGTCCATCTCCCATTTGCTTTTTGGAAGATATCCCTAAATTAAAGAAACACTGCAATCGTTAAATGTCTGGGTGATGTAGGGGTGGAAGGAGAGAGTAGGAGAAGGGGACTGGCTGAAAAGAGAGGAAAGTGGTTTATAAAAGGTTAAAGGACAAACAAGCAAAACCCGTATGACACTGCATTGGAAGATAAAACAACACAATAAATGCTATACAGATGCTGCTGGCATGCAGAAAAATATATTGTGGCTCCTAAGTGACAATATATTTTCAGCTAAATGATGATGAATTTGACAAAGTTCTCTACAAAGAACAAAAATAGTTTAAGTAAAAGTTTGGTTTGGTCTACAAAGATGGACTATCTTTACAAATAATCCCATGGCTGTGTCTTATGCTGAGGATGCAGTCTTACTGCTGTAAACAAATCCTACGAAGATTTGCACTCAAGCTACATGCTCATCAATAAATATTCAATCAATCAAGCCACAATGAGCCAAATAATACAATTTTGGCATCTAGCTATAACTGATGTATCAGTGTTTTATTATTTGAAAATGTGTTTGTCTAAAGTTTTATTCTAAGGGATTTTATTCAAATATACATATTACAGAATGACAATTCAGAATATGAATTATGGCTATGAATATTCAAATGTTTCATAAAATATGTGGCATAAATAAAATTATTACATTTGACAAACTGTTGCATCTAAAAGCTGAACTAAGCTTCTTTTGAATTCCTAAATTCTTGCTTATTTTTGCCAAATTATATTGGACTATTATGTTTTTTGTCTCCAGCTGTTTTAAAAGAACTATTCTGAACAGTGAATAAGTAAGAGTTTTCCTCTTAGATCAACATGGACTCAACCAACATATGCCATCTTTAAGCAGGAAGGAAAAATACATAAAAACTAATCTTTCTCATTTGTCACATGAAGAAACAAAAACAAACATTTTTTTTGATAAATCTTTCTTGCTTTTTAAAACAAAAAAATATAAAACAGGATGAAGCTGTGTAGCGAGTACCAACCTTTGGAATTTCACCTTTCATTTCCAAAGAGTTGTTGCTCTCTTACACGCTGGATTTTATGATTTAATCAAAACCAAAAGAAAAAGACTCAAACATTTAATTTATGACTACGTTGAACCCACTTGCAACTACTTTGTATTCTTAAATTGACCATGTTATTTCATTCTAATTAAAATAAACCCTTATTAATCATTTTAATTAATCAGGACATAATTTTGACTATTAAAGAAACTACTCAGTTGAGTGGTTATGCATGAAATGTCACAGATAATGTTTAGCGGACATTTTTAGTTCAGATAAAAAGTCAGCAGGATTCACATCTGTGAAACTCTCCAACATCAGAAAGGAAGACTTCTTGGTTGTTGGCAAATTCTAGGCTCTCTTTAACCCTTTTCCTGTTATATTCTCTTTCCTCCAAGTTGCCCAAAAGTCCATTTCTGATTCCTTGATTGGCTTTGGTTGATGTGTTCCAGGCGAAAAGGCAAGGTCCAGTGCAGGACAGGTCCTCCAAACCAAATAAGTAGAAATCTTTTAGGCGTGTTCTAGTGTTAGATATTGGTACATGCAAATAAATACGTGCCCAAGTTATTTATTTTTAATAAAGGTCCGTGAGACACTTTTTAAAAAATATTTTCCACCAACCATTTTAGAATTTATTAAGTAACTTTTCAGGTGTGCCATTTGTGCATTAATAAGTGACAAACCTCCAGAGATTTAAACCCAGAGCAGAGGAGACCACCAGCACTATCTCATTTTAAAGTGAATCAATGCTGTCTCCTGTGTCTATAAGTCAAAGAGATTGTCATAAAGTAACTTCATATATGTAGAGACCAAACTGGCTCTGAGAAACTTATGTCTGATTTCCACTGAGTGGTAGTGCCCGGGTCGGTGTGGTATGCCATTTCGTCTTTTTCCATTGAAAATGCAACCAATACAACCGACTTGTAGTGCACCATTTCTCATCACCCTTTGGTTGTAGAGCCATACAACAATGATATTGCACAGTTAGGGTGGAGCTATTGGCGTAACACCACAAAGTCTATTGAATGGAGAACAGAAAAACATTACTACTAGCAGAAGACATACTAGAGAGTCACATTTGACGTTAACACGTTTGTGTTTAACTCTACCTCCCCAGTAGGAGTCTAACTGACAGTGGAAATGCTTTCCTAAATACGCCGACGCATAAAGCAGTGTACTGAACCACATAGACCCGAGCCGAACTGATTAGTGGAAACGAGGCATAACATGGCTCAGCAGCCACTTCCTCCTTTACCTCAGCAGGTTTTCAAATGAATGTTGGAAGACTCTGATACACAGAGCCCACTTATTCTCTAATGGTTTTTAAGTACTGAAACTTTTCTTACCCCATGTCCCATTCTTAAAACCCATTTTAAATCAAGAATTGTTTATAAAGCTAAATATTAATCGGAATGATCTCTCTTGACATTTGAGTTAAACACGTTTGTCTTTAGATTATTTCTCTTAGTTGTGTGTAAATGAGAAATAGAATTGTCAAGTAACAGTGGTAAGTAAATTCTTACAAAAAATCTGATTTCCTCCTTAAAATCTTCCCAAATTTGGGAAATTTCCACACTTAAGGAGTTTTGTATGTGTAAAACCAACACTAGTTTGTTTCAACCTCTGTCGTTTACTTTTTGTGCAAATGTGATGCGATATGACGTTGCAGCAAGATCGAGCCAAAGGTATTATTGTAGCTCAGTGTGAATTACTTAGAAAGCTGATTCAGAATAAACAAAGTGACAAATGCTGAATGTCTTTTTCACAAAGCCTCATCCAGACAGTTTCTCAAAATCATTTGGTAAACCTTTTGTAAATTTGCGTAAAACAGAACCAAAACAACAAAAAAAAAAACTAATATGAGGATCACATGGTATTGACTAATTTGAAATGCAGCCCCTTCATCCCATATAATATTTGGTTCTTCCATCCCAAGAAAATGAATCTTATACAGCAGTTTATAGTGGCCAGATTTGGTTTGTTTTCAGTTTTCTGTGTGAAAAGAAGCCAAACCACCAGAAAGAGTTACAATTTTAAAATTAATTCAGACCACAGAAAATAAATTATGGTTGCAAAACACCCAGAGATGAAAAATTTACATTTTTATGTAGAGATTTCTTCATTTAGTATGTATTTATAAAACTAAGAAACTTCTTATTCTTTGAGTACACAAAATAAAATGTGTAAATTAATAAAGATTACATTGACTTAGAAAAGGTACGAGACGGTAGTCAACCCCAATGGAAATAAAAAGTGTTCAAAGGTAAAGGGACATATGAATTACATAATTGCATTGAGTAATTTATACCACCTGTGGAGGAAAAGGTAAGTAAAAGTGTAAAAAGAAGAAAAAAAAAAGATATGCCACTAGTTCTTTTGGTTAAAAGTCACACTAACTACAGTCTAAAATAAGCTGCACAAAATGCCAGATTCAACCTCTAAGAAAATAGGTTAAGAGGCCAAAAGACTTTTTAGCAAAGAACATAAAAAGGCTCCATCTTAACTGATATAGTTCCCCAAATTACACTGCAAAAATAGTGCCAATTACTATTTGTAAGAATTTTTTTATATTTTATGTCTATGCAGTGAGCGTTTAAAAAACAAATTCTTTGTTTGCGCACACAATCTAAATCAAAACAATTAAAGCAGATTCTGCCATCGGTTCAAAACACTGAAAGACGTGACAACTAAGAACTAAATGCTTATGTGCATCACGATTCTGGTCAGGTGCCTCTAACAAAGCATCACATTACCAAGTTCATCAGTGAACGCACAGTGTTTTGTGATTCAATTTTACAGCTTTAGCCCATCACTGTTCTAAATGTTAAATTTATTACGGCCATTTTTAAGATTTGAGAGCAAAAAGAAAACACCACAAAAAAGGCCATTTTCTTATTACACAAAGCCTTAAACATTCTTAGAAAGCGTCACATTCTGAACTTTTATCTCCTCGATGAATAATATTATATATGAAAAAGAAAACATGGCCATCTAATATTTTATATTCTCCAATCAGTGGTAGAAAGGCAGGAATTTGCGGAAGCATAATGACTGAAAAACAAACGATCTGAGGTTTGAAGAGTGCAACAAGCTATAGAGGCTGAGCAATAGAGCTTTGTACTCTGCCAAGTTAATTTACCCCTCAGAAGAGCACAACAACAGGTTTCTATTGTCTAAAAGCTGCAGATCTAGCATAATGTTCAGAAGTTCTTATATATCTTTGTTTCCAACAACTCTACTGTGTTCTGAAAGAGATCACAGTAAGGGGATTTTATGGACAAACAAAAGTCATAAAACTCATTGAATATCACATGTAAAGATTTAGGAAAAAAAAAAAAGAGTCAAATATTTCAACTGGTGCACAATAAATTCTTAAATTTCACAACTGAAGGCAAAACAGGTACTAATTAAAAAAAAAATTTAATAAACAATTCTTAAAATGTATAGTTAGTCTCGTATAACAGGGAAAAGAGATTACATATTCTCTTACAAGATATACAGACTCCAAAAAATATTTAAAGAACTTTTTTTTGTGTGTGGCAAACTGAGACTGAGATTAGTCAACCAGTATTTGTATAACACAGGGACCTACATGTCCCTTAAATAGATTTATTTCATAAGGTGAAGGACAGTTTTAAGTGACTATTTTAACTGTCCAGAGTTTTAATCATAACTGTGTTCAAAATCCACAGGAAGTGTTTGTTTCCCAAAAATTATCAGAAATTATCTGACTTTTTTTTTTTTTTTTTTTTTGCTTTGATTATTTAACCCCAAAGAAATCTGACCATACAGGTTTGTATTTGCAGTAAAAAAGCTAAATTGTGAGAATGTTTTTTCCACTGAGGATGACATCTCTATGTAGAAACATAAAAATATCACTAAAAAAGGCAAGACTTTTTTTCCTTCAAGCCTGGTTTGCAGTTTGTTTCGAGTACTGGCTCTGAAATTTCTGTATTCAGGCTGCTCAGGTGAAGTTATAACATTATGCTAGGAATTTAAGAATTCACATTACAGAGCTCTTTAACCTTCCAGAATAGTTCTGAATAAGTTTGGCTAAAAATTATTAAAAAATAAACTTTGCAAAATAGTATATTTTTAAATCCAGGTATAAGCAATTTCTAAGAAGTCTTACTTGAACAATTGCTATGAATTTCCACAACGAAATGGGGAAAAAAAAGTATTAGGAAAATGGTTTTAGATTTTTTTATCCACCCTTGTTTGTTTTTTTCTTTATTTTAAAACCTAATAGAAATAAAATAGTGGTTCTTCAAAAATAAAATTTCTTTTACTATATGCTTGTCAAAATATCTAAATACCTATTAAATATCTAAAATGTCATATTTCACAACGAATGCCATATTTGCATAAAGTTTTATTTAGATGGACTGAGGTCAAAATTATTCTTGCTTATAAAGATTGGTCACCCCGATCTATATTATTTAAAATTAAATGTGTTTTAAGCGTCTCAGTCTACAAAACCTTCATAATCTATAGTTACTTCACTTAGAGATCTCGGCAGAGAAACTAAGCAATTAAACAATGAAGCATTTAAGCTGCTATAGTACAAAGCTAGTCACCACATTTCATGGTTTAAATGATCGTGATGTTTTATACACACACAAAAACAGTATTTATGCATAGATTGTACTATATCTTATATTGTAAAGAGATAATGCTAAGACATTTTAGTAGTATGTTTTTCAAATCTTGTGTTATACCATCAATTTTCATTGGTTTAGTTTTATGTTTTAATGTGACATACTGGAATTTTACATTAAGGGGAAAATATATTTGATGCTAATTGTGTTTAAATATTATTATAAAGTTAGAAACATTAAAATACTAAAAAAACTACAAAACTAAAACTACAGTGCTTTAGGGATTTCATCCATTTTTGTTTGGTCACACAAAAAATTTACTCAATGAATGATTTACTTCTTTTTGATTTAGGGCTAACACTACAGATCAATCTGGAAACAATTAATCCTGCATATGTTTTGTTCAATAGAAGCAGACATGGAAATATGTGGCTAAGAGGTGGAGCTTTTTTGTCCTACCAGATCGCTCTCTTCTTCCTCCTCCCTCTTGGTTTCTTGGGGAACGTCTTCAGGGTTGAAGTCCTCCATTTCAACCTAGAAATTCAAGCAAATCAAAGTTTAGCTCAGACAGGCACAGACAAAAAGAGTTTCTACTTCCAGCAGTAAAATTCTAAAACAAATTTACCTCCTCAATGGCAGCATCTTGAAGCAAGGATCGCACGTCTAGGCGCACCATATGACGAGGAGATGACTCCCAGTTGCTGGATATCTGCATATTAAAAAATCCATTAAAAATAATTGTGCAGTCAAAGATATGAGAAAGTTACCTTAAGTATCTTAGTATTTGAGATCAAAAAAGTTTTTTTTTTTTTTTTTATACCTTTGTTATATCCTTAAGCTTGCGCCCATGGACATTCCTCTTTGCACATGTTTGAGTGTCAGCCGTGATTTCAGCTACATACACCTAGAAATGGAAGAGATTTTTTTCAGTAGGGACCAAATTGAACACCTATAATTTAATTTTTTAAATCTAATTTATTAGGTTTATTTGATAGGTAGACACACATTATTGTAGATAAACTGAACAAAACAGCAGTCCCATGCTTGTATCGTCTTGCTTATAGAGTATGCTAATCTGTAGCATGTGTCTCTAAAAAGAAAATGTACTAATTGAAACAACTCACCTCAAAGCCTTTTGTTTTGGCGGCGCTCCAGAATTGCTCAAAATGTTTCACTCGGTCATTAATGGTATCCAGAATAATAAAAGGGAAGAAACCATCATCAAGAGTTTTCTTAAATGTTTTCAGCATGCTGCTCCTGTAGGTATCCTCCATCTCAGGTTCATATTCATATTCAAGAACCTGAAAGACAGTTGTTGAGCATCTCATAATTTACACTAAATTAAAACAAATCTGATCACATCAGACAGTTTGATTGATGTCATGTGCACCAGACCAACCTTGGTTTTGACTCTCTTCCCAGTGTCTGGGTCTTTCTCAACTTTCTCCACCTCTGTCATGAAGTAGTCATCCAGAACGAGAACTCTTGGAGGTGCGCCACCACACTCAACTTCCTTGTCCTAAATACATTCAGAAAAATTTGTTTGTAAACAAAATAAAACATTTTATGTAATCTTTTGTTTTCTCTAAATACAAGTCAATGTTAAAGGCTTATCTCAATTAATGAAAATATTGATGATCAAATATAACAGAAATAAACACTTGAAATATGTGTATTTAATCTTTAAAACATGCAACTTTCACTTTAGAACTGATTTATTGAAATAAACTGATATTTCTAAATTACTGAGATAAACATTTTTAATACATTTAGGGTAAAAACCAAACAAACAAAAAAACGGAATCACGTACCCGTATAAGCTTTGCAACGTGGCTTTTTCCACTTCCTGGGAGGCCCCTCATTATTATAACAATCTGTTAAAATACAGTTTTCTTAAGTCCTTGCTCATATATGTTAATGTTACATGAATGAATATTGCAGGAATTAATTAATACCCTCTCAGGTCGAGATAATCTGCCAGGCGCTTTGAGGATGTCATCAATATTTTTAATTTCAGGCTTCTTCTCGACTCGTGGAGGTGGCGGTGTTGGTGGAGGAGGCAGTGGAGCAGTAGGATGTGGTCCTCGGTCCTCTGGATAACCTCCTCTTCTTTCCACTGAATGACAATATTTCCATTTCAACAAATTAAAAAATGTCATTAATAATTGAAAATTTACTTGGTTTTATTAGGCCCAAGTATTTGTAGCATTTTAAAGAAATTGTTTAACCTTCAGAGACACATTTATTACTCCCCAAAAACTGTTCAAACTAAAATTGTAAATACATACATGTTTTAATAATGCATGAAAACTCTGGATAAGGAATGCTAATTAACATATGCATGCAACGTACAGTAAGGCGAGCTGTAACGTTCAGGCCCAATGCGGTCAGGTCCGGAGCGCTCATACAGAGGTCTGTCATAGCCAGGCCTTCCATAAAAGTCGTCTGGGTCACGACTGCCACTTCGCTCCTTATCTCTTTCCCTGAATGCCGCTCGAGGAGGTAGTGGAGACCTGCACATAAAATTACCATTTTTAAATTTTTTATTATATCCTTCTTATTTCAAACCATCAGAGTCAAGACAAATCAAGACATCTGACACAATTTGATAGTACCTTTCTTCAACCAAGGAATATGTGCTTGAATAAAAAACAGAAAAATAATACCACTTAAGAAGAGAAGCTGGAATTTTTTTAAAACAAAGAATAAGGTTAAATATTCAGCAACAAAGGCCATACCTCTCATCTCTTTCCCGTGAATGATAACGCTCCCTCTCATATCTGTCTCTTTCATATTCAGGAGGCATATCTCGGTACAACTCCCTCTCTCTGCTGTACTCCCGGCGATCCAAATAGGGGTCTGATCGCCGGTCATAATATGGATCTCGGCTATAGGAATCTCTGAGACCGAGTGGTTCTAGGAATTTAGTTTAAAGAAAACACCAATTAATAAATTAAATATATTAATATATTAGAATATTATTGCAATGTGAACCTTACCTTTATCATAGAGGCGATCTGATGGGACTGGGTCAGGTCTTAGTACTATTCTCTCACCATATGGAATCCGCTCTACAGTTGCCCCGAACTCTGAAAAAGGACAATCAGCACTTTTCGTAACACCAAGATCACTGATTTAACACCTATTATGTCTCTAAATGTTAACCATGGTATTTGTTTTTCTGGACATACCATGCCCATGTCCATAATCGACCGTTTTAGAAATTATTGGTGGTTTGGCTGAAGCAGACAGTGACGACTGGTAATCTACAGCAACAGTAGGTTTACTTTCCCAGGATGCTGATTCAGGAGCAGCTGACTGAACAGCAGCACTCATACCCTGGTGAGAAAAGATACCATTATTTTCAAAGCTCTTACATCATATGGTAAAGTAGAAAAACTAAAGGGAATTTAGTTTCTTTCCTTTATTGAATTTCTCATACAACCAGAAGTGTTTTTGAATAATAAGATAGCTCTCAATTACCTTTAAAACATTCCTAACATCTGCTGGGATCTCCAATCCAAGGAGACCTGCAGGTAGCTCTGGCAGAAGGTCACTGGATGCAGGTTGTGGTTTATCAGTACTAGGGGTCTTTCCCTCTTGCAACTCCCTTTAGAAAAATAAGCCAAGTTAATAGTTTCCACCTCAGCATGAGGGATTCTGGTGCGTTTCTGTAATGCTGTCATCCTCAAGCCAATTCAGGACCACAATTGCAACATTTGTTATATTGTCAGTCTGCTTTCATTCTGCTCTTGAACCAAACTCTTTGAAAAACCACTGAGGACAAAATTCCTGAAGAGTTACAGTCCACTTCCTGTGGCCCAGAGACTGTGGAGAAGTATCTGGGCCACAGATAAGAGGACAGGAAGAGGACTTTGCATTCAAATATGTATTCAAACCAGAGAGCTAGGTTTTTAGCCAGACCAGAGTTAGCTTTGTTTAGGCTGGATTTTAATTCTGGGCCAGCAGTCACTCATCATTACAACATGGTCCAACAAATAAAATTAAATAGAAAACAATAAATTACCTTATTTGCTTAAGTTCTTGAGCAGCTTTCAGGATAATCTCATGCTGCCTTTGAGAAAGGGCAAGCACATTTGCCCCGCTTGTTCCTTGGGTTGCTGCTTCAACTGAGCTTCCAGGTAAGTCTGTTGCAGATCCACCAAGTGGTGGCTCTTCCTTACGCTCCTCATACTGAGGTCTAAGGTCACCATAATCGGGATATGTCCTTACTGGTAATGGAGAATGCCTAGAAGGTCTATCCCAGTCAGAAGCCCGTAGGTGTGGCGGTTCATCCAGTCTGTATGGGGGCTCATCCCTATAGTCATGAATTCGTAGTTCTCCCCTTGCCCTATTGCTTTCATCATAAGGATACGATCGACGTCTTTCCGTTTCTGGATCCCAGCGTTCCTCTCTGAGGTGTGGTGGGGGCGGCATGCGGGAAGGATACTCTCTTTCAGGAAGAGGACGATCTCTGTCCCAGTCCCCCTCACAGAACTTGGCTTCGTGGCGATAGTCTTCAGGTGGAAACTCTGTAGCTGGAGGCCGGCGATACTCATTCTCACCTCGATCATAATCCATAGCTTGGTCCTCCTTATATACTTCTTCATATCCCTCACGATGTGGACCTGGGCGCCACATTCCCCTCGCAATTCCTCGACCCATAGGTCGTCTTCTCATTCCTCCCCTGTCAATTATTTCATGTGGAGTCATTGGAGGTCCTCGTGGAGGATACCATTCAGAATCTTCTTCTGCTCCTTCATACAAAGGCTCCTCTAAGCGATCCATAATTTCATGGGGAGGAGGTGGAATTCGTCGCCTGCCTCTTCCAACATCAGGATGCCCTGAATGGCCATATGGGTCATGCTCGTGGTACATTGGGCGCATTGATTGATCCACGTTGGTATCATCCAAATCCATTTCATGACCTACAGGCTCATGACCCATTTCACCGTGAATAGGGTGAAGTGGACCTCCTCGGCCTCGAGGCATGAAACCAGGGTGCCCACGTGGAGGACGACCTCGACCCGGTGGAAATGGGGGTCTCATGCCTCTCATTTGAGGTCTCCATTCTTCCCAGTAGGGTTCTCCTTCCTCAGAACACTCTGCAGACTCAGCCTCTGCCCAGTGCATATCATCTAGGTCTCCTCTAGCAACTGCTGGACCCCCTATTCCCATGTGTGGCCCTCCTCTACTAAAGGGTGGTCCACCTCTCACCATTGGTGGGCCTCCTCTACTCATGGGTGGACCTCCTCTACCCATAGGCGGACCTCCTCTGCCCATGGGTGGTCCTCCTCGACCCATGGGCGGACCTCCTCTCCCCATGGGTGGACCTCCTCTCCCCATGGGTGGAGCTCCTCTACCCATGGGCGGACCCCCTCTGCCCATGGGTGATCCTCCTCTGCCCATGGGAGGAAATCCTCTGCCCATGGGTGGTACACCTCTTCCCATGGGAGGAAATCCTCTTCCCATGGGTGGTCTTCCTCGTCCCATTGGGGGCCCTCCTCTTATTGGGGGTCTACCTCGCCCCATATATGGTCCCACTGGCTCATCATAATACTCTTCCTCTTCAAAGTAATGTTCTTCTGGGACCCATGTGTCTTCAGGACGCACCTCTGATTCATCCTCACCAAACTCCTGATATGAAGGATCTTGCCAGTAGTCTTGTTGCTCTTCAGGTATTCCTCTATCGCCCTCTGGTGGCACATAGTCATAAGGCGTTCCGCTCACCCCCTCCTCAGTTTGTGCAATATTATGTTCTCTGAACTGCCCAGGGCCCAATTCTCCACGGCCAAGTCCACGCAGTGGAGGCTGACCACGTCCCCTGCCAGGAGGTAGATTCGGAAGTTCTGGTTTTGGTGCCAACTGGTCTGAACTTTGTAGTTCTGGTTGGATTTCCGCAGTAATTTTAATTGATTTTTTGTTGTCTGTCATTGGTTCATTGTCCTTTTGGGAATTTTGTGGAGGTGGTGGAAGTTGAGATATCGAATCAGAGTCTTTCGTTGATGTCGTAGGTTTGTCTTTATTGCTATCATCAGAGATACTTTTGTTTTTTGCTTCCTCAGACTCTTTCTTACTTTTTAATGTCTGGGGAATAGGGTCATTTTGAATGAAAAAACCATCTGCTCCAAGCAAATTATCATCTGTCAAGTCATCAGTTGTTGATTTTTTTGGTACAGTTTCATTTTTGTTAGACAGTGGTTGAGCAGTTGTTTTTGGCAAAGTTGTTGAATCTGAACTGGCAGGATTTTGAATGTCAGTCTCCAATTTAGGTTCAGGACCTTGTTGCTGTTTTAACTGAGGGGCTGAAGGAGATTCAAATCGTGGTGGAGGGCAAAGGGATCTTGAGGAATCCAATCTAGATTGCTGTCCAAAATTAGGCTGGTCATGTCTGGGTGGATTATCAAAACGGTGGCGTGGCTGGTCGAACCTCGGAGGACCATCAAAGCGCTGCCGTGGTTGGTCAAACCTTTGGGGACCATCAAAGCGTTGCCGTGGTTGGTCAAACCTTTGGGGACCATCAAAGCGTTGACGTGGTTGGTCAAACCCTTGAGGACCATCAAAGCGCGGACCTTGCTGGTCGAATCTTGGGGGGCCATCAAAACGGTGCCGTGGTTGTTCAAACCTGGATGGGCCGTCAAAGCGCTGAAGTGGTTGGTCAAACCTTGTTGGACCATCAAAATGCTGCCGTGGTTGATCAAATGTTGGGCCTTCAAATCTTTGACGTGGTGGGTTGAACCTTGGAGGACCATCACAACGCTGCTGTGATTGGTCGAACATAGGGGGCCCATCAAAGCCTTGTGGTGGTTGGTCAAATCTGCTGGGCCTGCCATCATCAAGAAAACTAAATTAATGTTGCTCAACAACAAATATTCATAATTATAAATGGCTAATGAAAAATAGAAAAAAATATTTGCAAATTGCTGTTAAATGTCAGTCCCACATCAATATATAAATACCAGTAAAAAACAAAGATGACAAACCGTGGTTCTCTTATGCTGTTGAAACTTGATGTTTGCATCGTCAAAGGACTAGGGGATATCACTCCAACCCCACCAGGAAGACTTCCTTGTACATGAGGCCTGTCAGCTGATTCTGAATGTGCCACAAAGGTAGGAGGTTGTTGGCCTGGAGTTGTAGCACCTGAAGCACTTGCTGCTGTGGCACCAGCAGCACCTGGAGCAGTGGCAATAGCACCAACCACAGTGGGTTGGACACCAGGGTTCACTACTTGCTGCTGCAATGGCATATCTTGCCCAGGGTATTGGCCAAGCTGTCCAGTCATAGCACCATACTGGCCTGAGGCAAATGGCACCATAGCAGTAATAGTGGTCACTCTCTCTTGAAGATGAGCATTGGTAGCATTCATCTGCTCTTGCCACTGCTTCCATTGGAGCTCATAGTCCTGCAACTGGTCTTTGTGAGGATAAGATTGAAACTGTTCATGCCACAAAGCAAAAGAGCTATTCCAGTTTTGGAATAAAGGTATGAACTGCTGGTGCTGCATTTCATAGTGCCTCAGCTGCAGTTCTGCAGACATCGTCTGTAATATAAACAAACATAATGTGATTGATTTTAAGCACTATTTACTAATAAACAAAGAAACAGAGAAAACGTAAGCTGACGTTATGTTGGGCTTTTACCAACCTGCAGGTTTGGAGGCTGCTGAATCAGTCGCTGATACTGTTCAAGAATCTGCTGAAGTTTTTCATGTTGCTGCATGAGAGCTTGGTATTGCAAGCTAACTCTCTGCTGTTGCACCTGCTGCCATTGTGCTGCTGCAGCCTGCAATTGCTGAAGACGAGCAGCTTCCTCTGGGTCTTTTGGAGCATCAGGCTTCAAACAAAATCAAGCAAAGATTAGGGGTAATCATATATTGCACACACATACACACACACACAATATATATATATTATATTATATTATGCAATATATGCATAAGCATATTGTTTTATATCCAACACACGTGTGATCTATTTGTAGAACCACAGAGTCCAATTTGCAATGAAAATAAACATTTTAAAGTTAAGTCAAGGCACTAACGAAATCATCTACTAAAAGCAGCTAACAAAACATATCTTAAACATTGCTAAAGCTTGTTAAGAACTAGACTGGAAAATGCATTGCTCATGGGTGGAGACCTAAAATATCACAAACATAAGTTGGAAGACAAATTAAAAGACTTGGATTGTGTTAAAAAGTAGGGTTGGGTATATTTGCAGTGCAGTTGGTTGCATAACCTCAATAGGCTCAGTGTCTTGTATTTGACACTGTTTAGGTATTTGACATTAGTGGTATCAAAGTCACCATTGAAGATACCTGGGCATGTCATATTTAGGAGCGAGGCAACAATGCACACTTGAAAAGCTTAGGATATCCTATTTAAAGATTTTCTAATGCCTATTTGAAAAATGCTTCCCATCTTTTAAAATGGTCAAAGAAGCATTGATAAATTTTCACCTCAACAAGTAGGTTCAAAACTGTGTAAAAAATGTGTCTCTGGTAATGTCAATTTATGTGAAAATTTTGCAACTCAACCCTACTCCGAATATGGCAAGCATCATGAGAAGGGAGGCAAAATATGCATGGGCATGAAAATGATGGGGAAGATGGACAGTAAGACTTACTGTGTCTGTCAAATTAGGTGAGTTTCCTACATTTGCACTCTGTAGAATTATGCAAACAAATAAACACATAAATTTAGACTGTGAGGCACTTACATTCTCCTGAAAAACATATCTTGATATGTTAAAGGCAAATGTGAAAAACCTATTTCAAAACTCATCAAAACCATATTAACTGCTTAATAATAAATGCAAGAATAAAGGTCCTGTGAATTGGTGCAGAGGTAAGATAAATTAAACAGTCTACAGTTATTTTATTTGAGTGAAAATCATTTTATAAATCTTTCTTTATTCTTTGAGAACAAAGAAATGTTAGGCTCACAGAGCTTAAACAGTACACCAGAGAATTTTATTGCATGTACATCACATTATACTACATTAGACTAAAAGTGAAAGAAGAAAAACTGTACAACAAATTAGCAGTATTAACTGCATCACCTTAAACAACTTCTTTAATAAGAACTTAACAAAAAATCATTTTGTGAAACAGATCATTTATGAATATCAATACAAGTGTAGGAAAACTTACCTTTACGTCTACAGGAGGTGGGGGTGGCACAGGTGGCTCTTCTCTTGGTGGCGGTGGCGGGGGTGTGCCTTTTGGTGGTTCAGAGGGAGGAGGAGGAGGCATTGCCTGACTGGGTGGCTGCGGCTTTAGAAAGGCATTGCCCGCTGTCTGATTTTGCTGGGCTTTCTCCTGCCTCAGTTTCTGTAAATTCTGAAGATGCTGTTTGTACCACACATTCTGTTGATCCTGATAGAAACAAGAGCATCACAAAATAAAGTAGGTGAGGGTTATGCTTTTTCTTCATTCTTATGTTATTGCTTTCAGAGTTTCGATGTCTTACTGATAAGAAAATGTTTCACATTTTATGGCAGATGCTTTGGGACATTTTAAACACAAAAAATAATGAAATCAATTATGGGTAAAACTGCTTTTGCTTTCACACTCTACACCCTTGAATTCAACTTGAACAAAAATAATTTTACTTACAAAATGCTTCATTGTTAAGGTTATCCACCAGGGAACGTGTACAATAACATCAACAGTAGCTACAGGTCAATGATATTTACTTTGCTATGATTAAAACACATGCCTATTTTTCAAAAACAGCCAATAAAAGTAAGAAATAAAATAAGGACAACCAAATAGACAAATTATTAGCAATTTGTTTACTAAACTTAATTTAAATAAAATGTACATTCTATTAATTACTTTAGGTTTCAAACATGTAAACAGACAGAACAGACTGCACCAAAGTTGTAGTTTCTATTTATTATTTTAACTGGTAAGAAACAAATAAAAGACAAGGAGAAGCATTCATTAAACAAACTTTAACTTGGTAAAGAATTTTAGAAAACTTTACTCGACTCTTAATGGAATTTTTTACTTGTACCACTCAGAACATTAAGATCATCAGACTCAAACCTATTAACTATTCCGAGTCAGAAGTAAACACGGAGAAGCAGCCTTTAGTTTTTATGCTCCAACACTATGGAATAAACTTCCTGCTCATTGTAAGTCTGCGCCTACCTTGAGTTCATTTAAAACAAGGTTAAAAACCTTCTTATTTGAAGTTGTCTATTCTTAAATTTTTAATCCCACTCATTTACTATAATTACAATTTTAATGTTTACTTTGTCTATACATTTTCTTTATTTTATTTAATTTATTTATTTTTTCTTCTAACAGTATGTATTCCTTATTTTTCTTGTACAAGCACTTTGAGTTGTCTTTGGCTGAAAGGTGCTACATAAATAAAGTTGCCTTGCCTTGCCTTGTAATTAAAGTAATTACAAGAAATAAATAACTTCAGTTATTTATTTCTGTACACGTCAAGCCTTATAATTGCAAATAGCAAAGGCACATGACAAAATTGCATCTTTGTCTTCAGCACAATCTTTGTCACTTACACTTTTCTTTGGACCAACATTAAAATATTTACCTAGCTGATTTTTGTGCAATTGCATACACATTCAATAAAACAGTGTTTAAAACAAACAAAAAAAAAACAATATTTAAGTCATTACCTGTAAAGGTATGGGTTTGTTATCATTCGTGCTGGTCGGGTTTGTGTTGCTGGCCACTGGAGCACCGATGTTTTCCTGCGACTTGGGTGGCTGGGATTCTGGAGGTGGAGGAATCGGTTTGGACTCCGCTGGTTGCTGCTGCGGTGGAGGCTGCGGCTGCTGGCCCTGACTGGGTGGCAGGGGTCCCCTCGGTGTCTGAACCGGAGTCTTTTCCTGCATAACGTACGACTGACTGCTTTCAGCCCCCTCCGCCTGACCCGGTCCATCTGAATGCCACGGCGGGGCCGCGTTAAACCCACCCGAGAGTCCACCTCCAAACCCAGCGCCGCTGTTACCGTGGTGTAACACGGACTGTAGCTGTTTCTGGTGCAACATCTGGAGCTGCTGCATCTGCTGTCGGTGCTGCTCCTGAAGGCTGGAGAACAGCGAGCCGCCAGAGGAGGCCTCGTAGCCGCCGAAACCACCAGGAGCCTGACCTGTTCCGATTGGAGGCTTTCGAGGGCCAGGTCCTCCGAAGCTTTGCGGCGGAGGAGCCCCGTAATTTCCCCAAGAAGGAAACATTTTATAAAACAAAGCCACGGAAGGCCAACGTGATTACACACACAGAAGGCCCTGGAGTGGCTAACAAAGCTAGCAGCTAGCGTCGACTTCTGCTCTTCAGAAGAAAATAGCTACATGGTCAATTTATTTTATGATCTTTTGATCAACGATACAGTTAATTAGATTAAAAAACAAAATGAATCGTTATCGCTTGCAAGACTAGTTAAACAATTTAGAAATTTCACACACAAAAATATATTTGATACGTTTACACGCTTTGTGTCGTTGAATGGTCGACTATTTCAGGAGCACGCAGCTGAAACCGGAAATACGTCACTTATTACGTGAACGTTTCAAATAGAAGGTCTGAGAATTTTTAAAATATATATTATAATATATTTTTAAAATTATCATTCTTTACTAACCTTTTACTTTTATCTTACTTATACCGTAAAAGTAAAACAATGAAAAGTTTTGCTTGATATATTTTATTTTTTTAACGCTGGAACATGGTAGTTTCGTGAAGCATGCATGCATCTCATGAGGCGCAAAAAGGAACATCACAAAAAACAAGTATCACAAATCATTACAAAGTATCAATAAAACCTTCTTAAAGAGGCTACTCGGGCACTGACTGATTATAAAATGTGATTTATTTTTGAACAACATTATATAACCATTCTATTAAAGAATAAAAAAAGACTAAATATTGATATTTTGCACAGATGTTATTTAGTAACTAATGTCATTTAGAAAGGTATCTTCTCACAAGATTAAGGATGGTAACCAATACTTATAGCAGATATAGAACACTGCAAATTACTTCCAGTGATAACATGCAATGTTAACTGTATATTCAGTGTACCTAAAAATGGCTGAACAGTCCCAGCAGACAAAAAGAACAAGAAACAGGGGTATCAACAAGTCTCACAGACATAAACTGTAGGTGTCCTACCTACTTTCGCTCACGAGACTAAGTGCATTTTACACTTCTCCCACTAGATGGAGACATTTACATGGTTATTCAAAAGACAACTTTGATTACGCTCACACCAGCATCACACAGGATAATTATTGCCGGCGAATTGATCACTAAATCACCAATCTATAAAAAGTTATATATGTTATTCAAGTCGTTTAAACACAAATATCAAATTTTTGGTAACTGAGATGATTTTCATCAATTTTTAAAAGCTTGCTAAAAGTATGTCATTCTCATAATTGATCCAAGAAATAAAATTCACAAACAGTGCTGTTTTTTGTGTTGTCAATACAAATTTCTTTCACAGGCTAATTACCAATGTTTTGGGGAATTCAGCCAGTAATATTAGGGGTCATAATTTGTGGTTGTTGTGTGGACGGAAGCTTAAAAGTTTGGGATCCGCATTGTTGTGAAATAACATGCAATTGCTCTGTAAAACTGTGAATCTAAATCACATATGACTAACTTAAAACTTATAACCAGGGTAGTCAATGCAAATGTAAAACCTGTGGTGTACTTTGTTGCTAATACCTCTTGGCCCCATGAATAACAAAAAAACTACAGATAAAATACATTAAAAAAGGCAATAAGGAATAAAAATTTCAAATTGCCATACTGTTTGGTGAATAGTTTAGTCAAATACCTAAAGATAGGCTTAAAGAGTTCACATAGCATACAAAGTCATTTTGTTTATCAAAAGAGTGGTGAGAGGTAAAAGACCACTGACTTTTGGTTGCCCTTGAGGCCTGATACACATAAAATAATTTTCCTTAACATCACCAGTAAATCTGTTTTAATTTTGACCAGAACCACTTTAAAAGAACCGTTAAAGCGGATTAATCAAGCTGGTCCTGTTTAATGTCTCCCGTTAATTAGTTTGTCAGCAGTGTTTTAATATTGCCTAATGACTTCATATTTCACCAATGACATTCAAGGGGTGTTAAAAGAGGAGAAATGGTCCATTCAGGCCTCAGTTCTTTCACTTAAGGCGCCCTCAGTGAATAAGACAAGGTCAGGGAGGCCTAGCCTTTAGGGAGAGATAGATTATCAGGGGAAGGGGGAAGGAGAAATCCCATAGAGGAAGCTTTCTCCTCTCTAAAACAGCATGACGGGCACAATGTGATACAGTTAGAACAATACACTGCTCAAGGGATTCATAATACAGCTTAAGGCAGCCACACTGTATAGGATGGCAGGATAACTTCACAGTACACAAAAATACTAAGATCAGGGATTTATGCTTCCTCGCTTCGACAGTTTTCATTTACTCTTCAATAATCTGTTGTAGCAACAATTATAAAACAAAAATCAGGCTTTGTACTTTAAATACAATGGAAGTTGGGTCCCTTTGATCACAATCAGCACTTTCTGAAGGTTTTTGAGCAAGAGCAAAGAAATCAGCAATTGTAAAGTTGTGGCTCACAATATTGAGGGCACGGCGTTCCTTCTGTGATGAAAATCCTATGTTAAACAAAATGTTCAATGGAGGCTAATAGATCCCCAACAAGTCCATGCACTGCTTCTAAAATGCTTTGTTTGGCAAATCAATTTTCCCATAACCCGGTGAGGAGAAAAGTGATGGGGATTGATCGCACCCCCCTCGACTTTGTTTCCAGAATATTGTTTGATGGCTGGATAGATTAATTGGTATGACATTTCAAAGCCCTCTCTTGGCTGTCAGCATCTAAGCCTTAGCGTAGCAATCGAACCACGGTCTAATTGTCTCCTATGTAATACCTCAATTCTTAAATTAGAGATGGTACCTCTATGAACTATTCCTTTTATAAAAGCTAATATAATCACTGTGTTCAATCAGAAATGGGTTAGCAGAGGAGTGATGCAGGGCTGCTGAGGCAGGTTGCATAAAAGGGCATCACCCAAACTGCTGCGCCAGCACTCTCTTCACTTTAGATGTGGAACATACAAATCAGATAAAGGCAATCAACAGGCATCCATTGTGGTTCAAATGTGAATCAGTGTTAGGAGGCTTGTTTACATCACTAAAACTGGTGAGAATGTAAAGGAAGAAATTCCACTCAAGTCAGTACTTCATAACGACTGGTTGTGTGTACATGTGCTCCTGGACTCTGACTCTGACTTTACACCACAATGTCAAACTTTAGCAGTGCATCCAACCAGAACAGACAAGTACATCTAATGTTTCAAATGAATCTTTTTTAGTACTGAGCTTTTTTTAAAACTTTGGTGTCAAATTTTACTTTGAGCCACACAATAAGAACCATGACTCAACAATTAAAGTGCAAAAACATTTATGAGGTTTGAGATTAGCTTTCTCTGCTAATTGAAAACATAAAGTAAGAAATACACAATCGACAATTTAGACATTTCGGTTTCTTTGAAGTGAAGTAACAGAACGTTTATTATTTTAATGATGTTATAACCGTCATGGTTTAAACCATTTTTTCTCTGAATAACACATCTATAAGTGTAAATCTAAGAAGGCCAGATGTTTGAGTTAACACAAAAGATGGATATAAAAAAATATCACCAGATCAACGGACTAGAGGGAAAAGCTAATTAATAAAATAATCTTAACAATAATGTGTTTCTTTACTTTGGGTCAGTGCTTTCAAACACCGAGACATAATGGTTACAAAAGTAGTAGTAGTAGTAGTATTAAATTTTTATCCACTGAACAAATATTCAGACGTGCTAATAAACTTATTTTTACTGTTTCAAATACATGCAGGGATATTGGATTTTGAGACTGTTAATCAAGTGGAGCACTTACTTAAATTCTTAAATTAAACTTGATTATTTTTGTTGCAAAAAAACCCTCAACAACTGTCTTTTTCCCTTAGACACCCTTAAATTGGTGTCTAAGGGAAAAAAATATAAAAATATATTTTTAGCCATATATTTTTTATATGGCTAAAAATATGCCATTATTTTTCTCTGCATTAAGCAATACAATTTTTTTTTTCAAATAAGACAGAGTAATAGTGCAGCTTTCGCCCTCCACATTTCATCAACGTTTGTTTACCATTCAACATGACTAATTGCCCTCTCTTGATTTCCACATTGTGGGCTGGTCTCCTCACAGAGAAAGCTGCTCAGAAGCCATCCTCCCTTCATTTGCTGTGCCTCCCTATCACCCCAACACACCCACTTGCCTTTGAAAACTGTAATTGAATGGGTTTGTATGTCGTCAGATTGATTAATCATATTAATTTGGACTTGTTAGTGGGATGGTTGAGAGCGATGACAATTAGATTAATGAAATTAGTTAATTCTTCTTCTTCCCATGCCATACTCGCATTTTTAAAAAATGAATAAAAAAAGGGAGTCTGTTATGACAAAATCAGCAATCAAGAGTTTGCTGCTAATTGAATGTCTTCCTTTATTAATGATAGGTTTATAAAAAGACCTTGAGGACGGACTATTAATTGGTTAATCAAAATTCTTCAAATTATGCAGAGTATACAAATTAGGAGTCAGAAATTTTGATTTTGAAGAATTCACTGCCAAAAATATTTATTCCCTTTATATGAAAGACAAGTCTTGCGCTGGAAAAATATTACCATATTCTCAAGAAAATGCATATTTTTATTGCATTTCTATATATATTTGGTTAATCTTGCATCTTGTATATTGCATAACAAAAACAGCAGTGATGTTTGTGAACACTGCAAAAAACAATGACATTAAAAGGACTGTTTATTATGTTGCAATACTGAGACTCACCAAAGTTTCCAGTGAAGAAGTTCTGATTACAGATCAGTTCTGTGTTGAGTAGCATGTCCCAGCAGAGCCTCAACCACACATTCATCATGGCTGTTAGTGCAGTGAAAAAACAAAGGCCCACGTAAATATATGTAAATACAGGTAAACGGAATGTGAGATCCTTCAAAACGATAGAGCTTTGAATTTCATTATGCAACAAGCTGTCTATTTATTATTAACGATCCCCATGAAAAAGGAGTGATTGTTTGATATGATAAAGATGAAATGCTATAGTTTATGCCACCATGAATCTGATTGGAACGTCCCCAGTATTAGAAAGGCCGATAAGAGCATTTATGACTATTTGCTTTGTGTCATAAAAGAAAGTGGGCTGTAAGATTAATATGTGCAGCTGCCTGCTTCCAGGTCCAGTAGATTGATTTGCTCCCTATAGCTTACAGGTGTGGTTATAGGTTGGTTTGTGCTCTCAAATGTGCTCACACAAGTAAGATAAGCAGAATTATGTCTAGCACAGTCTGCATTCACAAAGAGTTACATTCGATATGCATGCTGTGTAAATGTGGATGAATAATGCTTTTGTTTTCTCTATAAATTTACCTGGATGACAAGATGCT